TGAAATTCACATGACTGAACGGCTCACCTCAAAGCTTGTAACACTGTCAAATGATCAGAAAATATATTATATAGGGAAAATGTTTTAAACAACAGTGATTGAAAATCAGTCAGTTTATATGAAATAAATAACAAGGTTATAGAGTGTACATAGATTTTATGTAATATGTCAATTAAAGTCTTCTGAAAGCTAGTTTTATTTGAATTATTCAGTTTCTTCAATCCTTATAAAGACATAAACAGATTTTTGAGAGTTCTCATATTGTTCAAGGTTAAAGAAAAGACTTAGTGTACATAGTTCTTAATTAAGATCAAAGTTGATTTGGTTTGTTAGTAAAAACAAAACCTACATCGAAAGAATTGAACACTTGTTACATTTAAGCTAATAATAATATTTTATCCTTCATATTAGTAAATCATAGTTTTTGGTTATCATTTTAAATCATTTTTAGGAGTGTACAAAACTATTTCTACAACTTTTTCAATATGATTGATTCATTTTTGAATTAAACTAAAAAAAACCCTAAATATCATTTTCTCAATTCTAGTAATTGGCTATTACTTTTTTAAACGATAAGATCTTCTTTTGTACAATCTCATAACTGGTCCTAATGCTCTTTTTTTGCAATCAATACACATATATATATACATATAAAGAAATTATATGTAGTGAAAAAACACATGAATTTTACATGCTTAATTTACGGTTTTCTATCATTTTGAAATTTCTAAGCATACATTCATGTTTTTTTTTTCAAAGAAATATGTATCCTTACTAAAAAATTGTTATTGTATGTATCCGTCAGAATACATTCTTTATTTCTCTTCGGTCGATTATCGATTTGTGTTGGCGTAATTAATGCAAAACTAAGTACAATACTGACATTCTATATTTTCTACACCGCTACATTTTCTAAGATTTATTCATTTCAAGCACAAATCACTTTTGCGAAATTCTTATTTGTCATACACTACTTATTATACTACTTATATTATGGAGACTGATCAATAAATTTCTGAACACCCACTCACTCACTCACTCACTCATTCATTTTAACCAAGATATGATATAATTCTTCATCATAACCTTGAATAAAATACACTTTTTCTGTGTGCATACAGAATATAAGTATGATATATATATTGATTGGGTTTCTGATGTTCAGAGTACATTCTCAGTGCTATTGTCCTCATTAAGTGAACTCGATAATCGCATTTTCTTTGTTTGTTTGTATTTGTGTGTGTGTGTGAGAGTATGTATGTATGTATGTATGTCGGTGAACACATACTACACACACACACACATGAGCAACAATTTGAAATATACCATTGGAATGACTAAGCTATTCTTCACTATTCCATTTGTCAAACATTCATGCGCAACTCATTCATTTTGTTTAAGAAAAATAAAAATTGATGACAAATAATAAGATTTCACCTTAATAACAAACAATCTGACTGATCGGTAGATGAATGACCTTGATTAAAAAATTTCTGAATTAAGCAAAAAAAGGAGAAGAAGATGAATAAAGTGATTGCATTTTTTTTATTCAGTTTTGATCAAAAAAAGCACAAAAATTTATGTACTTCAACTTACGCACATACATAAATGACTGAATATTTTTTCTTAGTGTATTTATTTTTTTATTATCTTTATTTTCTGTTTTTAAAAATGTTTTTTTTTTAATTATTTTCAAATATTTTAAATTTGTCAAATGACCTTAGTTTTTTTAGTTAAAAAAAAAGCCATAAGTACTAGTTTGTTTTTTTTGAAATTGGAATGTGTTGTTAACATGTAAAAAAAATGTGGTGAAAAGGAGACTTGTGCAAAACGAATCAGTATTTAAAAAAAACAGTAATGTTTAATGTTTGTAACTGATTACTTACTTACTTATTGCACATAGTTTGTGTAAATATTAAAAAAAAAACATTGTCAAATACTTTTACCATAAAATGTCATTCATTATAAAATTTTTATGATGTATGATGTATTATTGTTATGATCTAGAAATTTAGTAAGAAAAAAACATTTAAAAAAACAACAATAAATATTTCTATGAAAATTAAATTTTACATATTTTAAAATAATTTCTAAGACTAGATAAATAATTGTTAAAATAAAATTTATGCTAGCATTGGAAAAATTTTAATTTCATTAATGTTCCTAATGATTACTAGTTTTAATGTTCGTAATCTGAAGAGAATAGTCGAATCTCGCTAACATCAGGCGAGGTGTTCAGTTTATAGAATTTATTAATTTGATCTGAGTTAGTATAATTGTTCCCGGTTGTTTGAACTGATGAATACAAAGATTCAAAAGTCTCTTCTGCATTAGTGAGCTGCACAGATGATGATTTCTTCGTTTCTCTACATTGATTGGACGATGATATTTGAAGGTCATTTTAAGCCACACCCACAGATTTGTTCGCGTGAAAATTGAATTTTGATTGGTCATTTACTTTGATCTGTATGAATACGTCCAATCAACAGTGTTTAGTTATAATATGTGATCAGTAGTAAATTGTCACACTCCTTTACATTCTGTTGCGTCTTATTTGACTTGAAATACTTCGTGGTGGAGTTTCGATCTCTTAGATGGATGTTTTGGTTGTGAAAGCTTTCATTGTTCTTCTGAACAACATTATTAGCATAGACTTCAGATGGCAGTACTTCTTCCATATCGATTTACTTAGTTAATTTTGATGTTAGTTCGTGATAAAAACCTGAACTCTAATGTCTAAATCTAAAGTGTACTTCCTCATTCTAGACTCTAAGATGTAGTTGAGTTTTCTTTTGGTCACTTTAGAATCGCTCAAATGTGTCAGCTATAAATTATAGTATTACCATGAAATATGTGATAATTTGTGTATTCTGTCTAATCCTCAAAATGTAAAGATAGAAAGGTTCGCAATGCACTAAACCTCGATATAAATTTGTGTCAAATAGTTGATTATTTTCATTTTATTCTGTCATTTCAAAAAAAGTGAATAAGAAGTAAATAATAACAGGTCATTTTAACTATGCACTGTGATAAAAACAGGTCAGAGGAAGAATTTTCTGAAACAGGTTCTCAGTTAAAATCATTTCAGCGACTGATCACCATTGTTTAAGCAGATCGATAGAAAGTATCACTTTTTTTCAAAGTACACAATTCATCTTTGTGAGGTCGCTAGCATATTTTCACCTAATTGAACAAAATTTGTGATAGACACATCACTTTTGTTTTAAATTTTAAAAAACAAAAAGGTTATGGAGTTGTTTAAACAAGAATGAATGAATAATCAAAGATTGTAAGCACAGATGAGTTATAAATCAAAAAAATAAACTAGAAAGTCAGTGGTTATACTTCATATGAACATAATTTCTAGTGAATAAGTAATCAAACACTTTCGGAAACAATCCAACCAGCAATTGTACAATACTATCAGATCGATTATTTAAGATATTCATTAGGTTTTAGGAGGCTGAACTCAACTCCTTATGACTGGTTTTGATTGACAGACTTATTATTTGCAAAAGAACATAGTCTAACATTAATTAGTACTTTTAATTGATCTATCACGTACAAGGTTTGTTTAGTTTTTTAAGGAAGAGGTAGTGTTGTGCACGAAAACTCAGGTGAGGATATCAACATCTATATTTAAGCGAATATTACAGAGTTGTTAAGCATATGTACAAAACCTTCCTATGAAATCATCATTTGCAAACTAATCCTTATTTGTTTCAGATTTCAGTGTTCTTTCATTTAGACTGTTCAAACTTCAGTTCACTTTACGTTACCTACAAATCGCCTTCTGTTCTCATTCTTTCCTTCTTGATCTTTTGCTGTCAGACGTTTGATTTATCATATACTACTTATGTGAACATAAGTAGCGTACACCACAGTAGGTTATCTCCGCCTTCAACAGAATTCATGTTGGAAAATTTAGTTTTTATTTCTGATGAATTCATCACCATGATGTTATTGAGTGGAAGATTGATAGCTTTCAACAAAAGGATCGTTACTCAGTCATATGTTCATGTATATTAGTGGTTTTGATTAGCGTTTATATATGATCTAACATCATATGAAGATTTATGAGAAGTTCTCATTGTTTGAAGTTTCATAATTTTTCACAGTATATTATCAGCAAAGATAAATAAATAATTTGTAAGCAGAATTCTATTTGAATAAGAAACGATCCGAAGTAAAGGGCTATCTCTGTATCCAGTGAAAGATTAAAGATATAGTAACTTCTTATGCGTAAATGTTTTCTATCGTGTAAGAGGTTATTTTTTTATTTGACTAGTTGATCAGTAACGTCTTTAACTCTGAAATTGTGTAAGGTAGATTCGAATCTTATATGAAACAATTGTCTCGTCAAGATTAATGATTCCTCTGATTGACGAGTGTCAACTAAGACAAAGATGATGCGAAACATGACTTTCTACTGAATATCCTCAATCGATTCATACAGTGGGACATCTTATGTGAGATTACTCTACAAACTGTGTTATACTACTCATATTAAGTAGAGTTTCATTTTAATCATTGGAAAAAAATTCATTCTCAAGTGTTTTATTTTCATGTAGTCATGACTATTTTATTCATCCTATTCAGTAATCAAAATAAACACATTAGATTTTTCTTCTTTGATTGTATATGCATAGAGTTATAAAACAAAATTCATTTTCATTGAAATCATAAACAGATCTAAGTTCGAAAACTGTTAACAGTGTAAGGACATATAAAATCACCGAATGACAAAGAAGTTAAACTTGTACAACATTCAATCTATGCATTCTTGTATGTGAAACCGTAGTGTTCTTGGGTTCGCCATGCTTGATAGCAAAGGTGGAGCTGAGGATTGTTTGTCTTACTAGGAAAGGAATTCCCAAAGTTCAATTGGTTTTTTTGTGAGACCAGAATGTTTCATTTCAAAAATGAATCAATATATATTTATGTTTAATCTGGTTGTATTTTTCTCTCGTTGTTTTTTGGTATCTTTTCACTGAAACTAGTTGTCAATAGTCCACTTCTTGACAATATCAAATTAGTTGATGGCAATCAATTGGCTTATGTTTTGTTGAATACAAATGATTATTACAATCACCACCATCATCATCATCCTCATCGTCATCAACATCATCATCTTATGGCAAAATCTGTCATTGGCTCACCTTATTTAAATATTGATCCTGTTGGATTACCTGAAAGTATTGAATTTCCAATTGAACCAATTAGTGGATTGATTTTAACACCGGAACAATTCAATCAACAATTAAATGATTCGAATATACTTGAATGTCCATGGAATTTGACAGCATGTGTTTCAGGTAAAAGTAGACGTTTACTTTTGACTTACTGATTGATGTATTTACTTACACATATAAACATTGGTACAAAGCGGCATGTACATATTTATGTTTCAATGTGCAGATGAACAAACCGATAGATATGATTTTAATAGGTGACCATTCCTCAAGCCTTTGACTCAAAGGTTTTAACCACAATACAGGGAAGAAACGTTTGGATATGCAGATCCATCGTAGTCGGTGACGGTTAATAGGTACTATTGATTTGGAATGAGGATTTTCCGAATCCCGTTGGTGGATCCTCTGTATACACCAACGTGGTTTAAGGCCTGACCGGACATTCGCTTTCCATCATCTCAATTTCATAAACAACACTTGCGTTACGAGAAGGTGATGAGTGGCAATCTTGGCCTGGCTATATAAGAGAGAGCATATGGTTGTACTAGGGCATTTGAACGTTCCAGGTTTCATTCCAAGTGGTACCTGTGTTATCCACCTCAGACTATAGAATTGAATGATATTGGTTTACTTCTCACAGATTAACCTTTCTAGTGAATGCCAGTCAACCAAAAACATAGATCAAACTGGGTTTTACTGTCTACTGCTTTCTGCCAGCTAACATATCATAAGTTGACGTTATGATTTTAATTGACGAGAATGCACTCATCTAAAGCAGTTGATACAAGCATGAAATTTCTATTCATCTATCATACTGATTAGAATTTCTCAGTATAACTTTACCCTCAATAGGCAAGGGTAGTCTTCATTAGTTTTCAGGAGAACCAAACACTGTCCATATGCTAGAACTACGACCTGAGCAGCGTAGTTCAATCCTGTGCCGCAACCGCACAAGTACCTGATACCCTGGTGGACCATTCACGCCATTTATATACACCAATACATATAGTGATTATTTCCTATCCACGATAGCATCAATCAATATGCACATCTTCAACAGGCTCAGTTGACCTATCCAGCTTACCTAACTGTTAAACTCATTATCATTAACAATGGTGATATGTAATATAGCACACCAATGATAATAACCCTCGAGAATGTTGTAAGACAACCACTAACATCAATGAAATCGGTCATCCTGATAACCAAATTTGCATGTGGACTATTAATAATACTTGTCATAGTAATACCAAACCATCTACAATGTTCAAAACGAAACTCTGATCTCATAGGAAACCTTTGACTCTATATAGAATTATAGCATCTGGTATATACATCGTATGACCCAGGATAGTATGAAATGCAGCTCAGCTTGACACAAATAGGCTCCGACACACTTATAACTCTTTTAGTCTCAAGTCGGTAGATGTTTTTTTTTACGCAATAGCGAAATTTTTATTTTTTTTGACTAGATAAAACCTGAAGGTTAGGGGTAGTATCCTTTGAAATTTCTCACCATTCATCATCCTTTTTATTTTTTCCACAAATTATTCACTCCTTTAGGCCAATTTACAATTCAATTTGATTTATTACCTAAACAATCCATAGAAAATTCCAAAACACATATTGTCAGTTTTTTAACAAAATATTTCACTAACCAACAACAAACTATACCTTGCATACTTGAATGTTATATTCTCAATGGAGAACACTTATTGATCACATGGCGTCAATTATCTAATCAACAAATAAATGATTCACAAGTTTACACAATCATTTCATTGAAAACCAATCATTGGAATTCCATTGAAATTACAGTAAAGTTAAGAGAGAATCAACTCGTTGTCAGTAGTAGCAATAATAATAATCATAACAGTAGTAGCAATCAACACATCTCACAGCCATTGAATACAATTGAAATGAGCATATTCAAACAATTTATTGGTTTCCTGTTTGGACAAGCCACACAATTACAATTCGCTAATAATGATAATCACCAACCGATTATTGATTTTTCAATAAAACATTTTCACATTTCCACACCGGATACAATTAAATTTCATCGTATACCACGCAATTTAAATAATCGTTTCGACGAGATACCAACCAATCCGATTAAATATATTTCATCAGTAAATTTTCCTGAAGGAAGTTTTGTACGTTATGATTTTTTAAATCGATTGCAGAGAACCGTAGAAGAAGAAGTGTTAACTATTAATTTTACATTACCATATGGTGTGACTTCTGGTTTATTATGGTTTAGTGAAAGTAATCAGTCGAAAAGTTATGTGTATATTAAAGTAAGTATGAATGGTTTATTTTATTTATAAATGCAAATATTTCCTAATTAACTGGTGGGTTATCTGAATGAAAATGATAATAGCCTGGGTGGATTCGAACCAAGGACATTGAGTTGCTAGTTTGAGATGTTACCATCGACATGTTTATGCAGGCTTCTACTGACCTCTTATAGTACTGAAATAACGATCAAAGTTATGTTTGTTTAATCATTGGTTCTGGTCGTTTCACTCCATGCTGGATTTGAACTTACGTTGCCCAGCACTAGGGACTGGTTAATCATGGTACAGATCTAGACAGTGCCTATGTAAATGTTTAATCAGTGTAATCGTAAAACTGATCTGTTTTGTGGTGTCAAACTTTAATTACCTAGGGAGAAAGATTTTTAACGCGTCACACACACACACATGAACAATCATAGTGAAAGATAGTAAGGTGTGTAGAAAAACCTGAAGGACAATTTAAGTGATGGTGAAATTTAGAGGAGAAATGTTACAATCTTGTTTACCTAGTACATGAAAAGTAAAATTATAAACTGAAACGATCGGTTTCCAATGTATTCACAAATATGCATGTATGATGTATGTATAAAGCCGATATTTAAAAAAATTGATTTTTTCAATGAAAATACTAATGACATTTACAATATCAAAACATCTAGTGTAAACAACAACAACAATATAAGACTACAAAACTGTACAAAATGTATGGATGTCATAAACTTATCAAAATAAACATTGTCTGTTTGATTGGATTCTTTAAAAAAATGTACATGAAGCCGTAAATAGGAGACCGGTGATAAGTTCTTCAGTAGAAAGTTCAAAACAACAGATAAATAGTAGTTAGAAGAGTTAAATATTGGCAAACAATGGAATGTTATAACTAGTGTGTTTCATTCTATTTAGGATTTGTTAACTGAATGTAACTACTATCCAACTCAGTTTAAAAATGTTTATCATTGATAGTTATAATAAGACAATCCATTTGGAGCCCTTCTTAGGTTACTGCCTGTCCCAAGCCTGGATAAAAGAGGAAGGTTGTGCATTGGGTTAACGACCCAATCCATTGCATAAATAATCAAAGTTAGTTAGTGTTTTCAAGGGGTTCAGCATGAAAAAGATCCTGATAGATTTGAACAAATTTTAATCTATGTTTAGTCACTTACTTGATACGGTTCAAGACGGAATACAACTTTGGCATTAGAGCAAGTAGAATCAATCTCTTTCAAGTAGTGAAATCAAAAGACAGACACATGGACTCTCACTTGTTAGTGTTCACCTACTTACGTGGTTCATTTCAGTGGTCACTGTCTTCATTGACTGATACCATTTCTTCGTTCGCCCATGTCAAGTTTATATTATTACATATCAGATATTTCTATTTAAAAACTAATGTGTTTTGAAATCATGAATCGATCAATGTTAGACCTTTATTAGAAACCTGAAAGCGCTGTACTGGCGATTCGTCCTGGAACGGGACTCATCGACAGTGCGCATCCGCGACTCCCACTACTCAAAGAATCGAACCCGGAACCTTCAGTTTTGCACGTGAATGCTTAACCTCTGGACCACTGAGCAGATATCTATCGGTGTTAATGTGTAACTTGGATTAATCTGATTAATTATGATTATTAGAAGTATGAAATAAATGAAAACTATCATTCAGCAACAATTATCGCGATACCACATATATATCCAATTGTAAATGGGTTTCTCTTGAGATTATCATGTTTTTTATATGTTTTTAATGAAGTGTGATCAATCTTAGTGGAAATATTGGCATCTTATGCAGATTGCCTTGACATATATCAGTCATTCAGCTACAACATACAACATCGTACGTACGTACGTACGTATATCAGTTCAACTTGCCATACCATATTAGCACAGAGAGATGAAGTTGTCAATTCAAATTTCACAGTACTAAAGATTGTGGCAGTATCAGTACTAATAGAAAACTTAGGGTTCGAAGATATGAAAGTCATAATCCAGAGATTTGAATTTAATTTTGGTCTGGTCGCACATAGCTTTCCTCCAGCCTACCATTACACCAGACAATATCGCTAACCGAGAAATTCGGTAATTGGGCATACGTAACACTTGTCCAAACCACCTCAATTGGTCTGCCATCCTTATTTGGCACCAGCTTCCTAACACCAGCAGTACTTACTCAAGTTTTCCATGTTTCCAATGTTTCTAAGACACAAACATTCTCTATTCTTAGTGGCAATGTTTCACACCCATACAGTAGGACATAACGATTGGCTGCTCAGTAGAATCGTTTTCTGGTTAGTAGACCGATATCTGTCATACCTTGATATATATATTCATCATTACACAAGTTTATATAGAATATCCAGAATCTAGGAGGTTCTAGTCGTGGAGCGACAATCAAACTCTGAGATGTATCAGGTATATCATCCCCCTATAGGCGAGTCCAATATATATAGAATGTAATGTACATCTTGGATTCTACTACCAACCATATTCTCGATCTATTTTACATATATATATATATAGTCCCATCAAGTTGTATTAATTAATGTCTTCTAACTTGATAAAAATGTTTTTTCTCTTTTATTTTTCTTTTAAATTTTATCAAGAATTCATTACTTTATTACATTTATGCAATAACCGATCAAACTGGTAAAGCACAACGTACAGTAACTGAAGAGATATTTTTAAATTCATCATTAATACCGGAAAAACCACAAGTTCTTCAACTTATACGAGATCGTGATAATGTAAGTTGGTTTTGAGAAGAAAAAGAAAAAATAATCATTCTCAAAAGAATCTGAATTAATTTTTGCTCTAATTTACTATTGTAGTAGTTTAAAAATTCCTTTTGCACTGATGATTGATTATAGAATGAAATACATCAAAATGTAGTAATTACACATTCTTGTATGATTTAACCGATAAGTACAAGTAGGTGTGTAATGCACTGAAGCTTCATGAATATCCTTGAAAATTGGTTTGTTTGATCTTTTAATAATGATTAAATTCCATCAGTTTTTGGTTTTAATATCGAGATCAGTTTAATTAGCTTGACATTGTGTGAATTATGTTTGAGATGTGTAAGATGGATTGGTTGAAGATAATTGGCAGTCGACTCCGATTGGTTTCGTGTTATTAATCACTTATCAATAAGGTATATGCTTACCATTTTAAGAGAAGTGATACTCTCACATATTTATTATTTAGCTTCATAGACTGAAGCGTTAGCAATGAGCGATCAATCATCATCTAAGGTGATTGACCTGTTGTATTGTAGTGAACGAGAACACAGGTGAGGGCAACCGAATTGTATTTAACGAAAATTACAGAGTTACGCAGTAAAATGGGAAAACCATATCGTAACCGTTAATTTGCAATTCTTCAACCCATCATCAATCCATGGTCTGACAGTTCACTATTCATGCGTTTCATACAAATTCCATTGTGTTCCCACTCTTCGTTTCTTGATCTTCCCCCATCTTCTGCTGCAAGACATTACGTTTACACTCGCGTCATCTACTACTTATAAGTAGCGCGCACCACAGTATAACTGAAAAAAAACTAATGACATTTGAATATATTGGACATGTTTCAAGTTTATCAAGATTTCTGTTAAATCATGTTTATTAATCAGGTATATATTGGCAAACCATATTGAATGCCAATAAGATAAGAAATAGTTTTAACTGCCAAAATTTCAAGAAATTTAGTCTTCTTGTTGTCGTAACTGTTCTACAAAAAATTTTCAACCACTATTGGAAGTTTAAGTTGATGTCTCGGAAAACAGTAGAATCATTCAACCATATAAATAATACCAGGTTCATACTGTTCAACTAACAAAAATATTCCGAAACTATTGTGTAACCCAATTGTTACGTCCTTAAAACTTCTGTCCACGAATATACAGGAAAGAATTTTATATCAATCTAGTAAAAGATCTTGTTGTGTTAGGCTATCTAGTTTAACTCTGAGATTAAAAGTGCATTGTCCACCTGTGAATAACCTACCTTTGCAGAGGGAAGAAAACTATTTTATCCCTTGATAAGGCTGACAAGAGAGAGAGAGAGAAGACGATTCGACTGGTACACTAATCGATTTATACTTGATTCGATTAACGAAAAAGGACATATAAATAAATATATGCTCAACAAGACCACAACGCATAAGGAATTCGAAAAACAAGATATTTAGGATAAGAAAATAGTAGTTTCATGAACTGGTATCATTTCTTGATTCGATCAATCTTTGTTATCTTTCGACTTGATTCTGTATCAGGTTACAGTGTTTATCAAGATACAAAGTGGTTAGGCATACGTGTCGATCAATGAATATTCGTTGCCTTTTCGAACGATCGGTCATTTTCAATTCATAACCTGATTTTAGCTTTAGCTCACCTTATCTTGTTATCTAATACGTTAGTTAGTTGTGCAGGTCAAAGTGAATGCTGATGGGTGAACGAATCTAGTCACACACATATCAGAATTTGAAAATTATACTTTCCGTACCCTCTTTATTTGCCATAATTTACATGTGAGTCAAGCTCAAAACATTGTCTTGATCTGATTTAGTTTACTGAGTGGTAAGGCGCCACGTTACATACTGAATTTAGTTCATGACAATCGTGTACGTTACAGAATTATCATATCAATGTGGCCGTAAAATTCTAGCTTAAATTGAACTTTCATAAAAGATTCAAAATTAATCTCAACTTCTTTCAATTTTTTTGTATACAACTAATATCTCATTATATAGCTGACAATTACACTTGATCATCGTAGTCAAGCGAGTAGATCAATTGCTGGTCGAGCACCTTTAGTGTCAACTGATGGAAAAGTTTATCTTGGTGGATCAGTTAATCCTATTAAAGATACTGAAGGTAAAGTGGATAGAACTTTTGAAGGACGAATTACAAAGGTCAGTGATTTGTTGTTGTTGACATAAGAGTGGATAATTTTTTTCCAACTTATGAAATACGTTGTAAACTCAGAGTCTACAATGTTGCTAATCCGCATAAAATCAAATCAGTTATATTAAATGTTATCTAACAATGATTCACTGATTAACAAGGTTTGCATTCACTGAACTCAACTGGCTACATAAACACAAAGATTGATACTGAGAGGAAAGCTTCTTACTAATCAAGAGAATTGCGAAATAACAGTATACTCATTCAAACGCATATATGTATGTCTAGTGAAATTAAACCATATTTGTCCACCAGCAATGTGTCGCTGTCCTTAGAGAACAGAAAAGTCATATCTTGGTCAATCACGTGTATTCATCAATTAACTGATATTTGATTGGCTGACTATATGTAGAACATTATGTTTTACTGTCAACCTATCAGATAAAGGCATCAATCAGAAGTTTATTATTCATTAGAATGATCTATTTGATAATAATTTGTACGTAATCAATTAACTTCATATAAATAGATGAAGAAAATAATATAAGTCATAATATCATATTATCAATTAGGTATGGTTTGTTTGATTAAAACAAGAAAGATGAATGTGACGAGATAACGCAATGATAGAGCCTAACTGTGTTTGAAAGATCAATACTAAGTGTTGATGACGTTTAGTATCACATCATACTGACTACGAAACCGCAGGTATACAAATCGATATACAAATGATGAGGAACGAATGAACAGGATTAAAATGTGTACACATGCATACATGCTCATACAATCTCAACAATAATAAAAGTACAACGGTATAGATAAGTTGGTGATATTCGAATGAATCTGTCAATTAAAAAGACTTAAACGAATTAAACGTAAAAAAAAAACTCTAGTATATGTGAAGTGCTATGATGTTCTCACTATGTGACTAGATATTTAACTTAAGGCTGTTATACAACAACTGACTTAGTATCCAATGTTTTTTAGGTTTCTATCTTCAGGCAAATTTCAATGTATTTCTTCAGCATCATTTAGTTTGTAGTATTCATCAAGGAATTCATTTTCTCTTAAACTATTGTAGTATGGTTATTATGAAAATCATGAACTGAACTCAGCACTAGACTGACTTTTTTGTCATAGTCTGGGACTTCTAAGCAGTTCGCATCCACGAACTGTGCACTCCGAAATCAAACTCGGCACCTTCAGCCTAGTGCGCGAATACCTAACTCATTGACTAATGGGTCTTCATCCTATAATGTTATTGTCTAATTTTAATACATCCTTGATGTCAATGAAGCTTCATTCATCGCTTGAGTTGGATAACATTCTCCTACCAGATATGGATTGAACTCCACTGGAACTCCAGGAATATATCGTGAAGCTAGTCAGTAGTGAACACATGTTTGTTATGAATAAAGGAGATTTGTGTAGACTGTAAAATTTATTTATTTATGGACACTTGTCAATCATATTTTGTGACATATCATTATTTATTTTAGGCTGAAATTACAAGAAAAGGTGATCAAGATGTCAATCTGTTGAATGTGTTAGTTGATCCAAGCTGGAAAAATTCTATTCAACCAACTGGTATAACAGATGTTCGATTTCGTTTACCTAAAGCACAACTTATTATTGGACCGACTTCATCGAATAAACGTTTTACTTCATTAGAATCAGAATTTTCACGTACACCAGTACCAATCACATTTATGGGTACAGATGATTCGATTGTACGATTTGATACGTGGAATTTTGAATTATATCGATCATTTGAAATTAAATTTTCCACATATGAACCAAATGGAATTTTATTCTTTGTGTAAGTTACACATCATAATTTTGAATGATACGATGTTTTGAATTTGTAGATGTTGAAAATCTGGCACGACCTAACACATCAATATGTATGTAGAGATGACCTTTGAGTAACCAATAAATAACAAAGATAAGAAAACTGATACTCTATGCTTGAAGGTCAACTGAATATTAACTAGCCCCAGAACTCAGAGTTACAACTCAGTCAGTCAGTCAGTTGCAACATAGAATTTCGTACGTATGTACATAAGTTCATGTTGCCATACCACATTAGCACAGAGACGCAAATGTCAAATCAAATCCCATAGTGATAAAGATAGTAAAGTTATTAATGGTAATGAAGAAGACTAGGGTTTGAAGATATTATTCAAGAAGTATAATTCAAAGAGATAAGGTTAGAAAGACAAAGGTAGAGGTGCTGACGAATCCAGAAGATTAGGATTTGAGAGAGCTCAACAAATGGATGCACTTGCGCCATTGCAAACGATTTTGAGCCATGTCGTTCAAGGTCACTAACCATTGGTGACTTTCATCTCGCGGACCCCAACCAGGTATCAGAGTTACAACTCGAGAGCAATGATCACTAGTCCAAGATCCAAGCTCGTTATTATATTTCAGACATTCCTTCATACCTATAGACAACCAGACCACACAACGTACCAATTAATGGAAATTAACAGTTTAACATGAATGAGACAAAAAAGATGGAAGTGAATAGATAGGAGACTGTAAACAATAAACTGGCAACGAATAATAAGTCCTATGATAAAAATTTATGACTTAATGGAAAGCTTACGATGAAGGAAATATAACATAAATCTGATGATCTAGTTATTTGATAAGTATACAATAAGACTATGTTTTCAATACTAATCCTGAAATTGGCTGTCTATTTAACTATTTACTTTAATCTTCGTTCGATTATAACAGATACTTTTCAAAAAAATTGTATTGATTTATATGTCTCATCATACGAAAGTATTCTTAAAGGATACAATTTTATCTCTATGAGCTAAATAGAATTCAGTACTAAGTGTTGCTTACTTACTTGCTTTCTTACTTAAGCCTTTTACCCCCAAAAAAAGCTTAGGCTACCGACCAGCATTCTACAACCTATTCTGTCCTGGGTATTCCTTCCCAGTTCAACCCAACTGATGTTCATTTTTTTCATGTCTGCTTCCGACTTTCAGAGTAATGTGTTTTTTTGGTATTCTATAGTTTCCTTTGGTCTTGATGATTTCATCTCTTCATTTTTGCAGCAATGAGTTGGAGTTTGATAGTTGAAATTCTTTAAGAACGTTCACATATGTGTGCTACAATCAAGGGATAACTGAAACATAACGTAGAATCGGGTTTGATAAATGTTAGGCATTCAAGCGCAAGACCGAAGGTCCTGGATCTGATTCCTGAAAGTAGTGTGAGTCATGGATGAGCATTACTAATGAGTCCCACACCAGGACGAAACAGCCATTGAGTGGTAGTCTAACATTGATCGATTTATGAGATCAATAATAAACAACAGTCTCCCTACCTGTATCATTAAAAATTTAATCAAGATATTATTTGCATAAATCCATATAATAAACAATGAGTACAAAGTAGTTTTGGATTAGTGATTCGTAAAAATTCTATATAGATTCATGGACTTATATCAAAGGTTCATTATTCATTAGAATGATACAATTATGAGTGAAACAATAACAAAATGCAATTGATCTGTCAAAATGTTGTGATGTATTTGCGCCAGACATTCCAACACAATCTGGTCACACACATATACACTTTCATTATAGGTTTGTGGAGACGGTTTAGTTTCATTCATATTATGAATCGATCAATGTTAGGCCCTTCATTCGAAATTTGACAGTACTGGACGGCCGTTTCGTCCTGGTATGGGACTAATCACTAGTCGAATCATTTCATATGGAATTTAATAAAAGATCAATTGAATAAAATTTCGAATCAACACAAGGTGATAATTGTAAATAAAGGAGAGAGAGAGAGAGAGGAAAATTAACATATATTATGAAGAGGATAGGAAATTGTCGCAGACCACAAAATGGCTTAAAGATTGTTAGGGTAAATTCAAGCTTGCGACAAACTGTTTATGTACAGATAACGGAGATTTGAGTTTATAAATAGCCAGTACTTCTGTAAACCGAAGAATTCGTTCTTGACTGACCATTTCCATACAACGTTTTTAAAAACTGTATTAATGATAATCTTATGTCCCGTTTCTATTATATGCTTCGCTATTGATGAACATAGTTATATATTTTCTCCGTCTATCGGGTCATTTAACACTAACCTATTTTGAAGCCATCTAGGTATATGTTCCATAACTCTTGATTGTATTGCCCGATCACTCCTTCCTATGCATGTGTGTTCATACAATCATGTAAACTGCAAATGCATCACGTTTTTCAGATCAACTACGTCTTCTGACTGTTCTGTCAAAATTTCATGGGAGGGATTGATACATCATGATTAAAGGTTACAATCTTGAGTATCCGTTTAAATAATTAGAAAAAGATTCTTGTTTAAGTAACAGTCAGTGCTAGACAAAGTTGAATACTATACTTCACTGGGTAGTCATTGGGAATTTCACTTAGTTGAACACTGGTTACTTTAAATAAAACATTTTTTTTCATGGTACCTAACAATTTGTTTTCTGGTGTTATTGTTGGAATGATTTTGGTTAGATAATTATCAATTACTAGACTGGCATTTCATCGTAATATAAGATTCATCAGAGATTAGACTTGGTACATTCAAGCATCAAAGTGAAGATCAAAGTTTTAACACTCTTAAATTTGGTTAGTTCATTGCAACTGACAATAATTTTCTGACATCTGACATAATTAAATTTCACTGGTTACATTTTCTCAGTGAAATTCAAGCAGTCACTTCTTGAAGTTGATCAAATACAAGAAGAAGACAACAGTGTGTTGTTTCATTTTTCAATCGTTCCTTAACCAAAATTATCCAATGATAAAAAAACTTTCAACTCAACAATCTTTACCCTACTCTCTCCTCTGTGAACAAAATTCATGAATTAAATGAAAAACTTATAATCTCCAAGCATGTTGATAGAATTAGTATAGGGTTTATCGCAATTTATCTTCATCGTTAGCGAACTGACATTTTGAAATTGGCGCAAAAGAAAAAACGAATTAAAAAATAAATCGCAATCTAAATTATGATCGGTTTAGCGGTACATATCAAAATTTATGAAATCATGATTCTATCAACGTTAGAGCATCATTAGAAACTTGGAAGCACTGGACGGCCGCTTCGTCCTGGTATGCGATTCATCAGCAGAGCGTATACACGACTCCTGCCACTCCCAGGATTCAAAACTCGCTAACACTTAACCTCTAGACCACTGAGCCAGCATCTAACCTTCAACTAAGTTCTCTTCCATTGAATCAAGATAGTCAGTTGCTTGTCAGACGTCAGTGAGTTCCAGTCTCGGAATGAATATCAACTCTGAGATGGATGTACATTCAAGCTACAGACAAGTCTCAATTATGAAGAAACACGCATCCTGGATTCTATTGCTTGCCACCACCAGCGACCCCAGCTTATATAATGTTTATGATTTAATGACAATATGGAGGCTATCTGCACAACTACTATCCTAACTATCGATAGGAAAATTCAAATAACCAGTACAAATAAATGTTCTATCCACTAATTCGAATGAGGATAAAAAAAACTAGGTCTATAATTTTGTCCATTCACTAATTATCTCCTTTCTTGTTTTTTTTGATAAAATTTAATGCATAATCCAAATGTACTTTCTCTCCGTAATTGTCCACTTCATTCTTGATTTATGATGAATAAGACTAAATAAAAGATGTAATAATTATCATGGAAAAAAAATTGAATTGTTCAGTGAAATGAATGACGTTTGGTGTTATTATTAATATTACTGTATGAAATCCCTGTATCCATTAATGTCTAATCAATAGAGTGCATTTACGTATTACAGTTAATTTATTTTCGATTCTAACTGGTTAGAAAGGAAAAAAAAATGGATAAGGCAACATATATATATATGTATACAAACAAGTACATGCTTACATTTTGCATAATACACCAAGATTATCAGTTTGAAAGTAAAATGTAAAAGAAAGGAAGTCGATATTTTTTCATCTATTTCATACCTTGTGTAATAGAACGTTGACAAGATTCAGCAGTATGTATATTTATAATATTGTTGAAATTATAAAAATCGATCATTGTTAGACCACAATTAGAAACCTGGAAGTAATGGACTACCGTTTCGTCCAGGTATGGGACTCATCAGCAGTGAGCATCCATGTCTTCTGCAAATCACAACATTCGAAAGTAGAAATTAAAACCGTTAGATACTGGCTCAGTGGTCCAGAGGTAAAGCGTTGGTGCACAGGATTTGAAGGTCCTGGATTAAACAATTGTAAATATCTCAATCCAATGCGATATGAGTTGTATCTCGAGTAGATTAATTGGTCAGATAGAAGTTTGTCTGAGATTGTTTGATGATGACGTTGTTCAGAAGAACAATGAAAGCTCCACAACCAAAACATCTAGCTCAGAGAAAGAAACTCCACTACAATCATCCACCAGCTCGAAAACATCATCATGATCGTTCAACCAGCAATTAACGATTGTACAGTATTGTTTATTCACCATATGTAACGTCGATATTTTATTGGACTGCGATTGGATGTAATCTCTTTAGCCTCTTCAAAACTTCTGTCACTTTTTCTGTGAGCCATCAAACTATTAGTCTCAGACCATACTATAAAACTGTGTAGCTTACAGTCTACTACTAGAGAAAGAACCTATTCTTTTAAAACTACTATAACATTCTCTAGACAAGTGGTAAGTGGCATGTGATACAGATTAAATAGAGTTTCTGTTAAACTGCTTCCAACCATCTAACATTTACAAGTCAGAGTCCAATCAATTACCCAGATATTTAATTGTTAATCTACACTAGCTACACTCAAAAATAAAATCAGCTTGAAGCTTACACCGACGAGTTTCGTTTCAGTAGTTCAAATGTTTTATGTTGCAGGATCTAGTGCTTTTAATTTTAACTCATGATTGTGTTTATACTGTTCAGTTTTTTTTCCATATTATTGGCCAAGCAACAGCTTCAGTTTCTAAGGGGTTGCAATATGTAAATATATATATTTACGAGTTTTTATGCATGTCATTCGTTAGCAAAATAGATTTCCTTTACCACTGTTGCGTTCTCACCTAATTAATCAACTCGAGGTGTTAGTTAGTACGTATCACCACATACCATTACAGTCATCAATTTCGAATCACACATTTTATGTTACTTTTTATTAATAAGTAGTTCAAGATTATTTTTAAAAGATTTTTACGTTTTATTTTTATTTCACACTTGCTACATCCTAATGTTGATGTTTACATTAGGAATCAAACTCGATACTTTAGACTGTAACATTTCAATGTGTTATTAACTGAGATACCTAAATTCTGTAGAAAATAGCTTGTGCAAAAAGTCTGAAGTTCATTTGTACGAGTTGTACATAAAACGAAAAGCTAGTTGTATATTCCGTTACTGGATACACTACATAGAATTTCACTAAAACTTGTAACTCAATGATAATACTGAGGTAATTCACTGGGTATGTACATATCCTACTAAAAACTAATAAACTCCCGTTAGATCACATCATCAACGAGAAAATATAAACACTTTAAATCATCATAAAACATTAAAAATATTCTCATTGTGAATATTAGAACAACACAGATATATGTAAACAATATTGTTTTCAATTATGTCGTCGTTAGACTTTAATTTAAGTGAATATTAATATAAAAATGTTGAATCAATCAAGTCAATTTATGAGCTAATCATCACAATGAAATGGATTACGTAACTACACATATTATAGGTAAAAGTACAAGTTGATAGTATGGAAGACAGGTGTACTATTATTGGTAGTGGTAAGAATAATAACATACAATAACAAACGTTTTTTGTCAATAGTTCAACACTGGAAGTACTAGTAGGTCAAACCTGGATGAATCATTACAAAGCACTAATTAGAATTACGTAATAAGTAGTGTGTACATGATTAGATATTGAAGAATGTAAGTAGAAATTGGAGGAAAATTACAAACAAATACAGAATGTGCATTACGGGGTTGTGAAGATTGTTAAGTTACACATTTTTGAAACCATGAATCGATCAATGTTAGACCACCATTAAAAACCTGGTATGGGACTCATCAGCAGTGCGCATCCACGACTCCTGCACCCCGCAGGATTAGAACCCAGGACCTTCGGTATTGTAGGCGAACGCCTAACCTACTAATTATGACAAAATAAAATCGTTTGATAAGTTATACCTGGTTTAAGGAAAGGATGTAATCGTCACAAATTTCTGCTGAACACACATATTGAGATAGGATGTTCGAATCCCTATGACTTCAGCTGAATGTGGTAGACGGGATCGAACTCCGTTGGGATATAATTGAGGTACATTGATAGATCACTCGAAATGATTCAGTTTTATCTATACATTATGACCTCTATCAATCAAGATAAAGCTGCGTATTTTTTTTTTGATCTGGCTCTTACCAAATCTTTCACTTATTTTCTACATATTGACAAAAAACAAACTGTTTCATAAATAAAATTGTCTGTGTTCATTTGTTTTGTTTTGTTTTTTTTTCGCGTTCAAAAAAAATTCCAAACTCGTATTAGTGGACCAGATCAAGAACATCGAGATTTTGTTTGTGTTGAATTATTCGATGGAAATGTGTATTTTGTTTATGCCGTCGGTGGACATTATAAGCATATACGATTGAATCCACCAAAAACTGTTGTTAATGATGGAGGTATTTATGGTGTATATGTATCACGTAATGCACAGCATAGATTTACTGTAAGTTAAATTTTGATTTATTGATATTTTGAACAATTTAAAATGTTTGTATATCACATACATAAAGCATCTCCGAGTAGTGCTCCCTGGTTAAGGAGGAACTAGCTAACACAAGCAGACAGAAATAGACTAAGCTAATCTCCCATTGTATCTTGAATCTGAGAACAGATAGAGGTGTCAATTTAAATATGGGATTGTGCTTGGGTATAGCTTGAGAGGACCAGATAAATGACCTTAAATTTTGCCGTGACCAGCGAGTAGGGACTGGTACAACAGGTATTATGACATGAGAGTGAAAAAGTACATCGTTAAATAGCTAGCTATTTGACTACCTGACAGTTATTCTGCATATGCTACTGGATTTCAGTTTGAGTTAAAGGTATCTCTGCCTACGTGTGTATGAGATTGCATGGGCTTCAGTAAGTGTGCTCTACATATGCGCATACTGTATATTTGCATGCGGAAACTTCCATGTCTATATACATTTAAATAATGGGTAGACATTGTCTATATTTGTATATAACGTATAATAGCGACTATACCTATGTGCATATCAATGGTGTACATATGTCACCGATATATATGTACTTTATGTGCTCATGAAGAAGCCTACTTAGAAGACGCTATCACATTCCATATTAAGGGAACCCATTAGTGCCCTTCAGCGCTTTTTGTTGCTTTAATGAGTTTCGAAATGTGGTAAGAAGCAGAATTATGTTAAGGTAGGTTGGCATCTATTCTGTCTGCTCCGCCTACGATAGACCGTAGTGAGTTAAACTGCCGCACATATATATAAGTAGACTGTAGTAAAAATGTCTGCTTTTATGTACAAAATAAACTCGTAAGATTCTTGTCTGCTTTTATCAGTTTCTTTGAATCGATGTCCTTGTCCTTGTTTCGGTTTTGTATTTTCGCAAATATTGTATTTTACTTGATGATAGCTCCTATTTTTACCGCAAAAAGCCAGTCGGCTTCACTCTTTGTTTGGCTGGGCTTTGATGTATTAAACACATAACATCAACTTATATATATCATTACAAATCGATCTTAACTAGACCAGCATTCGAAATCTGAACAAGCTGAGTGATCGTTCTGCTTTACTAGTCTAGTCTAGTGGTCAAACTTTTGTGCATTAGACCAAAGGTCTCGGGTTCGACTCTAGCGTGCGGAGTTACGGATGTACACTGATCAGGAGTCCCAAACTAAGATTACCCGATCATCTAGTGCTTGCAGGTTATCATGATATCAACCCATATTGTATTTTTAACCAATACTGAGATCACTCATAATTACAATGGTTTCAATGACACACAGAAGTCATTCATCTCACAGTGAATTTTGAACAGAGCAACTCCTAAATGACTGCGATCAATAAACCCTACTTTCATCGACTAACTGTGGCAGATGATTATCATATAGTGTTACTCTACAAGCCTTTCGCCCACAAGTCTAATCCTCATGTTACTAGGGCAACGTTAAGAGATTCAGTTTCATCGTATCTGGTAACCAACAATGAATTCATTTAGGATCCTCAAGCTCAGATGCACCATTGGTTTGGAATGAGGATTTTCCAATTCCTTTGGGTGGATCCATCGTATCAATCAACTTTATTTAAGCATTGTTTATAAATTCAATTTTTTTCCCTCTATAAGAGAAGGCAGTGAATAGGACTTCCCTGGCAATGATTATCTATACATGGCCATTTGAGAGAATGTGACATGGGAGAGTGAACTCTCTTCATTCTTGACCGTACTAGGGAATTTTAGACCTATATAATTTATAAGTATGCGGGTTGTGAAGATTATAGGATTTTATTGAAATCGTATGCTCACTCATGACTAACTGTGAAAGGAAATTTTCAAAGTTTTATGAAGAAACTTTAACTGGTCGAGTTCAGTGATTGCAAATATAAAGGAAAGGGACCCATCAGAAACAGTGGAAAAAGTTTTCTAAATTAGGTTGGTTTATGATTTCAATTTAAGTCTAAATTGCCATCTCTGCAATTCACTTCAGTACTAGATGATACATATAACTTCACTTGAGATTCTCGAGCTGATATTCATCCGTGATAATAACTCTGTTAGAGATATCCTCACGTTTAAATCCATTTCACACTGGTCATTAGTATTGATCGTCAAAGTCTCAAAACACTTACTTACGCCTGTTACCACTCGTGGAAAATGGACCACCGACCAGCAATCTTCAATCTACTCTGTCCTGAGTTCTGTTTTCTGGCTGTTCCTAAGTACTATTCAATCTTTAGATGTTTTTATCGCCAATTTCCGACTCGCCATGTTCTTTGGTCCATCTATACTACAGATTATATAATAATGATTCGATTATACATTCTGATAAAATTCACTTTTAAAAAAACAGATAATTTCCTTTTTCTTCAGGTAAAATTCAATAACCAACAGGTCGATGTGGAAGAAGGTAAAGAAGCTCACCAAGCTGCCTTTGCTACTTATACTTATATCGGAAGTATTGATAATGTGGGTCGTTTACCATGGCATGTTTGGTCACGTGAAAATTTCGCTGGTTGTATTCATTCGATTTTAGTCAATGACAATAGTTATTTAGATGTTTCATCGTAAGTTTAATAAAAAAGATTATTAATCAAAAGGATTTTTTTTTCTGATCATAGGACTTTTCAGCAGTCTGCATCTACGACTCTGCGCACATGATAGTCAAAACTGGAACTTTCGGTTTTGCACAAACGCTTCACCTTTGAACAACTGAATCGGTATCCAAAAGTGTTAATCTCTAACTTCAATCAATCAATGATCTTGAGTAACTTTCTAGTGAGATACCATGACTCATGCGTGTCGGATAGGAAACAGTTATCCTCCGCAGGTGATGGATGAAGGTTGCACAAGATCATGGATTGATTAATGTAAGATATCAGAACGTCTGGATGCTAATTCAGTAGTCTAGAGGTTGAGAGTTTGCGTAAAACCGAAATTTCCAGGTTTGATCACTGCATGAGGAGTCGTAGATGTACACACTCAAGTCTCTACTATGTACCTTTTTAGTTGTTTGATAGAAATCTATTTTTGTCAGTTAATTAATTAATCAATGTATTTATGTAAACACATAAACATTGGTACAAAGATGTACCTCAATATTTATGTCACAAAAATGATTGAATTTGTGAGTGACCTGAAATACTTTGTGGGTGCCCAAACTAGATCAGATAGTTTTTATTAGGGAACCATTCCTCAAGTCCCATAGTAGCCGGTGACCAACATTATGTTGAAACGCTATTTGTTCCATCAGGATCCTGAAGTTCAGATACACCACTGGTTTGAAATCAGTGTTTTCTATTAACGAATAGGAAAAAATTTGAAGTACCCATCAGTATCAATGATCATGAAAAAGACAAAACATAGAGAGTATTAGTGAAAATAAAAAGGTACTTATGAAAGAATGCAAGAGTTCAAGATCTACGGGGAAAAATAAAAGTTGAGCGCGTCTACGCTATTGTAACTGTTTCTAAAAGAATAAAACGATATCGTTGTTACGCCTGCACCTTAACACATCAACTTGATATACTTGAACTATTACGAGTTTACCTCGTCGTAAAACGAGAGCGAGGATCGAGGATCCGGTGACACGATATGCTACTCAAATCCGATTGTCCCAACTCCTATATTGAGTAAAAATAAGAAGACTTGATATGAAGCAGAACTTGTATTCTACAAGCATCCAGAAAGTTCGAGGTCCGAATCCAGAAGAGAACCAGGATCCCGGACTAAGGATCCTGGACCGGGTCCTCGTCCTGGTCATAAAACGTTACAGATAATTCGTATTTATACATTGTGGTCGAATAGGAAACAGCATCGAAGTCTGTGACATTGATAGTCAGAACAACCAATAATAAACAATATTGCAGCCCGGGACATTGATATCTAGGACGACCATAAAATTGACCAGTAGGAATTGACCAATAGAAATAGACCAATAATTCTCTTAGGATATCGGATGAATATCCTAACAATTGTACAAACTGAATGTGAAGATCACCCAAATTTATACAATTCACTAATATATATTTTCTAACCTAGCAATAAGATCCCCATGATCTGTCAGCCAATCGTACTCCTTTTTTAATAGATTATGCTGATCAGTGTAAATATGTCAAACTTAAAAGAGATCAATCATTGGGTGAATAGTTCGCCATTAAAATCTTAAACTGTGAATCTAGGCTGACGACTCAAATTCAAATCTTATCAGGATCATTAGTTCTGTTAACAATACTAACATATAGCGTTCGTCAATAAGGGTTTTCTGTTGATTGCCTTCAACCATCAAGCATATAAGAGAAAGAGTGAGAGTGTGTAAGGCACTAACTTGAAGATGACATTCAATAGTGTAATCAATAAAACATTATATCTTGTACTATATTCACAAACTATTCTTTTTGTTTTGTCAGTCGAATGATTCAACATACTGATATTGGTAAAGGTATTCGTTTAGGACAATGTGAAATACCGAAACAACGTTGTAATGAAAAAATTTGCGGTGGTGGACGTTGTTCCAGGCGTTCATATCCATTTTTGGAAGAATTAAATTTTGCTTGTGATTGTAGTGAATCAGATAAAACATTTCCAGAGAAAACAATGGATATTCGACGATCTGTTGGTTGTGATCGAGGTACTTATTATTAATGTTATTAATGCCAGTCTTATTTAACTGTTTTCTGTAGCATGAACTGTTGTAAGATTTAAAACCACACACTGATCTTAGTCAGTCGCCATCATTAGAAACCTGAAAGCTCTGGACGGCCGTTTCGTCCGAGTAGGAGACTTCTCAGCAATTAGCATGCACGACCTTCACACAAGGGGATCGAAGCCAAGGTCTTCGGTCTCGCACATGAACGCTTAATTTATTTACCACTTAGTCGGCAAACAATCGTGTCATACGTGAAGAAATTCGAATATTTCACTACCACCTGAAGTTTCTGCTGATGATGACGTTATTCCACAATCAAAACATCCAGCTCAGAGAACAAAATTCCACCATACCCATCTACCTGAGCTAAATATTTTCTTCACTAACTCACTATACTATGGTGTTAATGTCACGATTTTGCGCAACCTTTATCGATTACTTGTTTTAAACAACGTTCTCCTATCGGATACAGATTAAGCTCCATTATCTACGACTTCTCATTAGAACTTCAGGAATGCATCTCAAAGCATGTCATTAGTGAGAAAATTATTATTCCTAATGACAGGGAGATTGTATTACTACTGTTGTTGAAATCCCACAGTGAACGAAACTATATCATTATTAGAAACTGAAAGCATTGGACAGTTATGCTGAAAATTTCATATTGTACAACTTTTTACCATAGCCTACTCATAACTTGATAAATTACTGAAATAAAGGTAAATATTTGATTCAACGTCTGTAACAGGCATCTCATTTGTAATGATCTTCATGTATCTATACAATGTTCAATGTTGAATGGCTTTTTCTCTCTTGTTGTTTAGATGCTCCAATTCTTGAAATGGATGGTGATATGGTTTATGTGATTGATTTTGAAGAACAAATCAATAAATTGATTACACATACCGATGATATCAGTTTACAATTTAAAACAGACACTGCTATCCATGGACCATCTAATTATTTACCATTGTTTTATTCAGTTTCACGTGCTGATAAATCATATTTTCGAGTAGATTTAATTAATGGACAAATACGTGTTCAAACAAATATTAATCATAAAGGAAAATTAAATACATTTGAAGTAGGCATTTCGGTGTTCGTTTTTTTCTTTTCATTTAATTTTAATGAATATTGATTATAGAGAGCCAATCAGAATTGACTAAATGTGAAGGTCATTTAGTGGCCAAACAGAAATGACCTAAAGGATGAGTGCATATTATTGGTAAAATAAATGTATTACTTTTCTAAACGGGAAAGAATGTGTATACTTAAATGATTAATTATGTACATGATTCGGTAACTAGCTAGGCCTCCTCTTCTGTTCTTGCCTTTTTGAGTTTAGTTGGAATAGTTATTTTAGAGGATTAGTGCACATCAGGTTCAGATTTTGCACACAGTCCATCACTGCATACACAATGATTTGATGTAAACTGTTAAATTTGTGTAGATTATCTCATTAACTGATCTCATTTAGACCATTGGCAAGAAGCACTGAACATATTTTTTATCTTTGTATGAGACTGCTCAGAAGTGCACATCCGTGACCACACCAGAGACAAAACCTAGGATCTTCAGGCTTTAGGGTTCAGTGGTACATCTGGAAATTCAGTCATTTCGCGATACAAATAGTTAAGCTTTATCCTTGCTGGCTGGTCGTCGATGCATATTGCTGAGGAGTTTCACATTAGAACGAATCAGATATCCAGTGCTCCCTAGTTTACTTTAGTGCCCTAAATGAATCCAATATAAAGCAAGTGCTACAGACAAGTCAAATCAGTGTCCACGTGAAATTAATCTCGCTAAAGTAAAGAGTTTGATCAATCTCAATTTACCTTACACTTTGAATTATCGATTTTAGTTAAATATTTCAATACTTAAAATAACCTGAAACCCTACCGAAAGAACAAGAATCAAACTCAAAGAAATCAATCGGTTCATACTATATGAACATAAGCACTCAAATTAAAATCACCAAGGTTTTAAATGAATAACTGACAAGTTCTAGAGATATGTAAATTGTCCAAAAGCTGAGATGAATCCTGTGGGCTCAACATACTAGTACGCACACTACAATATATATATATATATATATATATATATATATATATATATCTTCCGACTAACTAACTAACTACTGCTGTATGCTGTTCTATTCCAAATCTTTTGCCAGTTTATCATTCACGGACTCCCCTATATACACCAACTTTTAACTTACTCATGTATAGATATATTATTGCATTTTATAATGTGATGTGCTCTGGTACGCTTTTTATATAGACTATGTCCACTTGAAATATGACAAAACGTTTTCTGGAGGTTGACTAACGAACTTCTCGGCTAAATAGGCAGGATAGAATAGGGAGAAAGAAGCAATCGAGTTGTGGATCAATAAGAGCTTTAGAGCTGATTCAAAGTTATTGGTGCTAAAGTGTAATTCTAATTGATGTTTTGCATATGGCACATGGTATATTGATCAGCATTTAGGGATACAAAAATACTCCCTGTTTTTTTAATCTTTTTTGACATTTTTTTCTCATTCTACCGATTAATTGATTTGATCAATACATGATTTAAGTATTTTCCTATTGTTTTCCAATAGGAATTCTTTCTTCCAAGTGGTACATTGAATGATAATCGTTGGCATACATTACATATTGCACGTCGAGCTGATTATATTGTTATCTCAGTTGACAGAGCATCAATAACTGGTAAGTTTAATTAAAGTTTTAATCAATCATTTCATTTAAATACATTTTAAAATTTAAAAATTTCCGTCCATACAACTTAGTGTTTATCTGGTAAAAAATGTTTACAATCAATCATGTTCCGATGATATCTTCTCCTTTTTGGCAGGTATGAAGTTTGAAGTAATCATTTGTGGTTATTTCACCGAATACTTGAAATGCTCCAGTACGATTTAGAGTCAGGACAATTTATTCTCCATCTCGAAATACTCTTATATGGCAATACATTTATGACTGCCGTCAGAAAAGTCTCATCGACTGTTTTCTCGTAGTGAGGATTTTACCGAAGACATTGAGAGGACAAATATCGAATTATCTGATGAGGGTTTAAACCAGGTTTTTGATTACGGAGTATGTCACTAAGAGAGTTGGAAAACCCTTATTCCTAAAACCAATAGTATTCATCGACTTTACCGTCCTGTTATAAAAATTCAACGTACCAACCTGTTGTTGATCAGCAACTACCACGGGACCACGGTCTCGTAAGGTTGCTTCATTGTCTTATCGATTAGTTATCTAGATGAAAAGCTTCAACAGTGATTCGCTAAGAAAATCATTTGTTTTGGTTTACACAGCCGGGCAGTATCCTAACCAATACACAAATCCAGTGATTCGTATATAGTTATGAGGGTACACCGTTACTCATATACAAGTATACACTTGAGACAAATCGACTGAGAGATAAGTTTTTCAACATGATACATTTACTTCAAACTATGTGAATAATCCATTTTCTGCATTGTTTCATTTGTGTCTTTATTGAACAAAATGTAAAAAAAAAACTACTTTTCAGGTACACTTTTAATTGAAACACCTTTGAAAGGTAATAAAAAAATGGTGGACAAACTAGTAGGAATTTGTCACAAAACAGGGTGTTAGAAAATTTTAAAAAATTTCCTTATTTTTATTCACTTAATGGTGCTTAGAATACACCTATGTATAAAATGTAGATCAGTGTGTTAATACCTTTTTCCTTCTAATGTTAACATAAAATATGATCAGACAAATATTTGGTTATCATCAACTATTATTGATAGAAAATGTTCAATGACGGGTGGCTGGTCCATGTACTTACTTACCTATGCCTATTACCGCTTATGGAGCAGCGAGTTACTCTTTCTGGTTGATGTTTTTTTAACCAATTGGATTTCTACGGTATGGGGTAGCTAACCACATGAACAACCCTCCTACTTTATCTGAGCTGGCGACCGGCAGTTACCCTAGAGGGGCTCCAGGTACTAATACTACTACAAACTTTACTACTAGTACTGGATTTGAATTGACACTGCCATCTGTGTGTGATAATGTGGTGGAATAGTAACTTGAACTGATGTATGTAGATACGTAGCAAGTTCTACTTTGTCGACGACTGACTGAATGTCAGTCCTATTCAAAATCGATGTTGTATGCTCACTAAAGACTGAAAATTAATATCCAAGTTTCTAATGATTAGGCTTGTTGAGTCCAGAAGTTTATAACCAACTTCTATAAACCGAATTCATTCATATATTTCCAACATGAGGGACATAATTGACCACATGATATCGATCAATGGAAAATAACATGAACAGATTAAAACGTGACTGTGAATAGGCGAGACTGTAACGAATCTTTAATCCAGCGACAGTAGTTAACGAATTCATCGAAAGTTCATTCAGTTACCTAGTAATTATGTAAGAAGAATATTTATTAATGACAATAGTCCATTAATTAATATTGAGGATTATCATCCTTTTCGGTATTTTTGTTCTGATATAACCCTTCCCTTTTTCTTCCGAAAGATTCACTCGAGGTTCTTCCTATGTTAACAAACAATTAACCATTATATATACATATACATTTGCACTTACAAATCACGTTTTCTTCATTTTGATAAAACAAATTTTTAAGTAATAAAATGACTTGTAGTTATTTTGTACAAGTATAATGAATAAATACGTCAAGATTGAATGAAGTAAGTGATTTATTTGGAGAAGGTACAGTGCATCTAATCTTTAGATTCCAATTCGTAAATCAAGCAGATTATTGACTATCCGATACACTTCTCTTCAATGATCACCAACTGATGACACTGTGCTTCATACTACTTGGAAGACATGTTGTGAGTAGTATCCACTAAACATATACAAATCTTTGACTTTGACTATTCTACTATCATTGTCTAAATGAAGAGTTTATTTATGGAAATTATTTGCATAACTTTATCATTTGATTAGACTGACATGAAATAATCACTTATACAAGTAGGTGTTTCAATACTTGATAGATCTGCAGTGCTAATGAATGTTACATAATGCGCTGATGACTTTATAGATATATTAGTGATCTTCTTTCCCTTCCACGATGAGGGCAGTCGAAAATTGACATCCACCCTCATACCCTTAAGAACACACAGGATCAACTTGTTGACAATCAGATCCTTCTTCCACATCTTTAAAACTCTCTTGTCTCGTTCACTAACCCTTCTTGTATATATTTGCACTTTGCACCGCTAATGCTAACCATTTGAATACACAAAGTGTTATTTCTGATCTTCTGTAACCCCTCTTTAAATTAAGTTGTGGAGCTTTTGATATTCAAACATTGTGCTAAATAGAACAACATTCTTCCTTAGCCAGGAATTTTGAATCTTGTACCATCGATGTACTTTCTGTTTCTGAAATGCATATTCAAGATTCGAGTAAAGTAATTCATTTGACCTCACCTTTTTAACATTAAGAACCGTAGCGATTTATGCTTCATGTATCTGGAAGATCCATTTATGCTAACCGCGGTCTCTGATATAGGTATAGCATAGGTAGAACTAGCTCACTTAGGCTGGATCCCAGTAAATGGTCACTTGTGTGCTCTATGACGAAGCGGAACACTAAGAACTGGGAAAAATAGGGACACTCACAGTTGCCTCTTTGTCGTCTCTGCAGCTCAAATGAGGTAAAAGATGAATTTTACGGAAGAAGCTAAACACTCTGGTGTAATAATTGTAGCCCGGTGATTTTAATGCTAAATTAGGTACATTAAGTTAAACTGAAAGATACCTGAGTATGTATCCTAAGTCATAAGATCCAGTCTATATCATTGTAATAAACAGTGTAGACATGTACATTCCATATTAGTGTTATCTATCCCTTTCTCTCTCTCTCTCTCACTTCCATCACCCTCAAACACTCATTCACCCTTGAGTACTCTCTCAATTTAATGATATTTTTTTGTTTATCTTCATGTATTCAATAATATTTTCAAATTGAATTCAAATAACACTTTGTTTTATTTCTTAGAACGATTCAATATCTGTGAGTAGCAATTAAAAATTAAACAGAGAAAAAAAGTGCTACTCTAGTTTGTTTTTCACTGATCACTAATGATTTTGTTTTCTAATCACGTAAAACTGGTTAATAACCTATTTTGTTTTGTTCTGATATTGTCTGTTTGTTTGAATGTTGAACTGAAGTTGTCTTTTTTTACGCGCTAATTTAATTTAGTGTGCAACTGTTTAGTTTATTTAAACAACAATAATAATAATGATAATAAGCTTAGTATTTTTGCTGGTTAGTGTTTTTTTAGCATTTTGGTTTTCTACGGGATGAAGTCGCTAACCTCTATGCCCAACCCTACCAGTTTATCTGGGTTCAGGATCGGCAGTAACCCCAGAAGGTCTTCAGGCGAAGTTAGTATACAAGCTTCCAACTAGCTATTTCAATTAGAAAACCATAAATGACAAAGAAGCTTTCATTTTTTTAAACGTATTTACAATTTATTTTTATCAGTTCGAAAGGAAATTGAGTCGTATTTTCAGTCCATAACATATCTACTTTACCTTAGAAAGTTAAATTCAATTCTGACCAATAATATGTACTCGTCAGGATTTCTCACTTTAGATTTGATTGACGTAAATGAGAATTTAATTTAATTTAACTTGTATTGAGTTACGAAATGTCACAGGTACAAATCGTCGAAAATTACAATTCTTCACGAACTTGTTAGAATTTGTCAATTTGTCAATATTTCATTCGATTAGTACTAATTGATGCAATGAGCCAATCAGAAGTAGCCATATGAGGTCACCTGATGACAATCAGAAATGTCTTAAAGGTTGAATGCATATCATTGGTCGAAAAATGAATTTATTTTCTGAATGTTTATGTGTATTCTATTCAGTAGCCAAACAGACTTTATCTTCAACTCTTACGTTCTCTCTCAAGTAGCCAGTTTTGGGATATGAGTATTCATCACATTTGAATCTCGGACACAGCGCGTCATAATACTAGCACTATACATCAGTGTAGAGTGATAAAGATGATGATGAATGGATGGGCGAGTTGTAAATGGCAGTTTGTATAGATGAGGAATATTGAATTTATTCGGAAAAAATTAAAAAACGATCTGTCGAAATTATCGCTTTAGTAAACTAGATTTTATTTTTCTAATTTATTTTGACTGGCGCAGGAATTTTACTGCTTTTTTTAAATACGCACTAGCTATTTTTGTAAAAATATATAACCATTCTGTAGATACTACTTATTATTAGCTTTGATTGTTGGTTTCTTTTGTGCAAAGACAGTAAAAACACTTTTCTTTTTACATTTTTTTTCTGATGATTTTACTTCACAGTTAATTACACTTGTTTTGTTTCGGGTTAACAAAGATACACAGCTAAAATGCTAGTTTGCTATGAAGTGTGTTTTTTTATAGCAAAAAGTGTAGACTACAAATATGGTCTTTATAATTGAAGTTTGTAAATGATATTAAAGTATAATTTTCATGATAGGGTTGTGAAGTTTGTTAAGTTTCAATGAAATGAAATTATGAATTGTTGGTTGTTAGAGCATCACTAGACAGAAACCTGGAAGCGCTGGACGACCGTTTAGTCCTGGTAGTGGGCTTTTCAGCAGCACGCATCTATGACCTCCGCTCGTGGATATCGAACCCAGAACCTTCAGTCTCTCCCTGACCAATGGAATTAGACTTAATTAGGTGTGGGGCAGTTGCCTACCAAATAAATTTAGTTAAGTCGAGCAATACATTGAACTGATTGAAGTTAGACATTATCACCGCTAGATGCCGGCTCAGTAGTCCAGATGTTAGGCATTCGTGCGCAAGACCGAAGGTCCTAGGTTTGACTCCTGCGTTCACTGCTAATGAGTCCCATACCATGACAAGACGGCAGTTTAGTGCTTTCAGGTAGCTAATAGGGATCTAACAATGCTCAATTCATGAGGGGCTTAACAAATAAATTTAAGATATGAATGGTTTCTTTTTTTCTGCTGAACAAGACCAAGATTTCATGGATTCCTTATTTAACTGTTCTCCTTTTTTGAAATTTTAAGAGTGTGTATAACTATGGGGAGAAGATTTGTTGAAATTTTTGTCAAAAACATATATAAACATATCTCATCGTTTACATTACAGAATAGTCGTTGTTATATAACCACTGAAAATGAAAAAGTATTTGATAACTGTTTTGTTTTCTAATAGGGGATCATCCCAACAGTGTTTATTCACAACCTCACTATTAGGGACTAAAAGCTGGGCTGGTTTAATATACGAACATTTAACCTCTATAGCCCAATACGCTGACATCCACTTATGTTTGCGTTTAACCATCTTCCAATGTAGTTGGTGAATAACTAAGGCACATTCAAAATTGGTGAACTCCACTGATCACAACTTCTCATTGGAACTTTGAAATTACTACTCGAAGTTCGTCACTTGTTAGGCATGACTAAATACTATTATGAATTCAGCTATATCACTTTTTATCTCATTGTATATACCATATATTAGTCTTAGTTAAATAACCACTGAAAAGTAGGAAGTATTGAACAGCGGTGTTGTTTTAATGCGCATCGATACCTAGACACAGGATCATACCAAAGACCATTATGTCTTGCAGCAAGCACTTAAGCTTTATAGTCATCAAATAGTTTACTGGTTTAAATCCAACCACTAGCAGATGTCTCTTGATTCATTGTCTAGAACTTGATTTTCCATGTTGGTGAATGAGTAAACTTTGTTGCTAATCACAAAACTTGAAATCTTATCTGAAGATAATTTCAGAAAAACGGTGTGACTTATGAATTACAGTCATCTTGGAAGTTTGAACGCTTTAAAGATTATTAAGAAGTTCCTGACTAATTTATCTATTGTTTGAATTATTGTGAAATTATTGAATGTTACATATTTTAACTTCAAGATAAGAGTTGAAAGAACAATATGACAACATAATTAGTGTTAGTAATAATAATACATTTGGAATACCTTCAAAGTTTACGATGGACAAACTACATTGACTGTCATTGTTCAAATCAGAAACAGAAACCGTTGAATAGCTGACAGTATTGGATATTAACTACTTTGTCAGAAATACGTATACATCATTCCGAAATCGGCGATCGAATCCAGCATCTTCACTCTTGCGCGTGATATTGCCACTGAATATACCATGTAAAGCTAGATAAACCTAACTCTCTTTCAGTGGAAAGCCAATACTCTTTAGGAAACCTTATTGCCAAAATCCATATGATCATGTTAACAGGTTGTGTGAATTTGTAGACTGGAAGTCTTATCCGAATTGAAAGGAATAAGTGAGTAATATATATATTCAATATATTTTAGAGCTTACCTACACTTACCCTTTAAAGTGTCATAAACACTTCGCTTTATTATTAGGTTTCAGCTAACCAATTGTAGTTTTCCGCATACTCAATTCTCTGGGGTATTAGAAAAACATGGCATTTCTGTCCATCATTTGCTGTTATTGGTATTTTTTCTAATGCAAACGAGTATTTTTGCAAACACATTTTAACTACTCACAAAAACACAGTAGTTAAAATCTCCGTAAAATATTAAGCTAATATACATTTATTAGTCTTTGGTCAATGGAGTCGAGTGCTTTATTTTATAGTTGACTACACATTTCATCAGTGAATCATTCTAATCAATCTAGAAATAATATGAATGAATTTTCTGTATCTTTTTCTTTTAAAGGGAAAATTCCTCTACTTGATCCACATGATACATTCCAGTTGATAGCACAACAAATTTATTTAGGTAGTGCTGGACCATTGAATTTTGGTTATTATCAAGATGTTGAAACCAAAAAAATCATACTACCACCTGGACCAAGATTTATTGGTGAATTTAGAAATTTCTATTGGAATCAATATGATTTGATTGGTACAAAAAATTTCCCAACTAAATATACATCACATTTATTGAATCCACCAGCAATTAAACATAAATTCCCAATTTGGCCAAGACAACAAACTTATGCAATCACATGTAAATCCGGTCTAATCTATGCCCATATGAATAAACCGATTACAATGAAAAATGGCGGTGACACATGGTTAATTGAATTTAAAACCAATTATGATGGAATATTGTTTCGAGTAAATGAAAATTTCATTGTTTTTAGAATCTTTTTGGGGATAATTTTCATTTTTTTCGAAACCATGAATCGATCAATGTTAGACCACCATTAGAAACCTAGAAGCACTGGATGGCCGTTTCGTCCTGGTATGAGACTCCTCAGCATTGCGCATCCACGACTCCTGCACCCCGCAGGATTTGAACCCAGGACCTTCGGTATTGTAGGCGAACGACATTAACACCGTTACATACCGGCTCAGTGGTCCGATGGTCCGATGGATGCGCACTGCTGAGTAGTCCCATACCAGGACGAAACGACCGTCCAATGCATCCAGGTTACTAATGGTGGTCTAACATTTATCGATTCATGGTTTCAAAAGATAACTGAACAATCCTGACAACCCCGTAATGATAATTTTCATTTTAAAAGTTCCACAGCCATATTCAATGCATAAACAAAGCTTTCTAGTTAGTTTTGTCATTGTATAAGTTAATGGTGAATAGGGTTTTATGGTGATATTAAATGAGCTGTGTCAATCGTAATTGACTCAGTGAGAAGGTCACTTGATGAACATTTGAAAATATCCTAAAGGACGAATACATATATCATTGGAAAAGAAATGAATTAATTTTCTAAGGGAGTAGGATATATTTATCGATGAATATTTGTATATATTCTCATCCAAATAGCCAGTTTGATTAAGGTTAATGTGTATCACTTTCAGATGTGGAAAAACAACACATCATAACACATTGTTAATAACGAGTAATACAAATTTTTACCAAGATTTACATGTAGGTGATTCAATGTTAAGAATACTAGTAAGCAATAAAAGGGGTGTTTTTTTTCATTTTCTAATGAGTAGAAGAGAATGAGTTTGAAAATAAAAATGAAATTATCTGCAATATACGATTGTGGAGATTGTTGAGTAACTTTGACATCTCCAGTCGATCAATGTTGAACCCTGTTCGGATGTGATTCAGTACTCACCGAAGACAGTAGATGGGGCTGTGCAAAATCGTGGATTTATTGAAGGTAGACATTACCACTCTTGGATTTCAGTTCAATTGTCCAGAGGTTAAGCGTTCATGAGCTAGACTGAATGTCCTTGGTTCGAATCGTGGATGCGCCCTGCTGATGAATCCCATACCAGTGCTACTGGGTTTCAAATGGTGTTAATCTAATAATGATCGTTTCATGATTTCAAAAAAGAATTAGATTCATGTTAAAATTGGAATCCAATATTCTGGTCGCAATCTTACGTGAATATGAACTCTTCATCAAGTTTTAAATAAGATTTAGACAGATGCTCAATTCATAGTGTATATCGTAATATAATCTCTTTCAATTCTGTCAATCCATGATTAAAATTATTCATCTTCACATAGGAAATTGTTGTTCAATGAATTTCTTATAATCAATAATTAGGTCTAAGTAAACATGATAAATGTTTATATGATGTTGTCTGTTTCACTTACAAGTATTCATTTCTTATAGTAGACATAACTCACTGCATTACAAATCGGAAGACGAAGAGGAATACCAAGTTTCAATTGTCAAACAAAAATTGTATTATGTGATGATTTATTTATTCTGTTCACTAATATTACACGATTAAAAAAACATGACTCAAAATATCGATTTCTGTTACTTTGTCCATGAGCTAGAGATGCACGCAACGACAGTAACAACCAGTCAAGATCGAGGTCAAAAGAACAGCAACAAATCAAACTACGTGGAGAGATTCGAATGCTTCATTTGTTCTATCTGAAGTGTGTACTAATGATGTTGTCCAGAAGAAAAATAAAAGCTACACAACCAGAACATCCATCTTAGAAAACGAAACTCCACCACGATATCAGTTGAGGCGGTTGGGAAATGTGTTACGAATGCCTAACCACCAACTGCCTCGACGAGCTATCTTTGGGGTGTAGGAGTAGGTTGGGAGAAATCTAGGGGCGGCCCAGATCGAAACATGGCAGAAATCCATGAAGTCACTGACAAGTGGACTGAGTCATGTTGATAGATGTAGACTACCTGGTTGGGGTCCGAGAGACGAAAGTCACCAATGGTTAGAGACCTTGAACGACATGGCTCAAAATCGTTTGCAATGACGCAATTGCATCCATTCGTTGAGCTCTCTCAAATCCTAATCTTCTGGATTCGTCAGCACCTCTACCTTTGTCCTTCTAACCTTATCTCACTGAATTATACTTCTTGAATAATATCTTCTAACCCTAGTCTTCTTCATTACCATTAATACCTCTACTATCTCTATCACTATGGGATTTGATTTGACATTTGCGTCTCTGTGCTGATGTGGTATGGCAACATGAACTGATGTACTTACGTACGAAGTTCTATGTTGCATCTGACTGACTGACTGACGATATCAACTGATGTATTCACAAAATTTACTTTAATATTTGACAGATTATTCAGTAGTAAATTATATGAATTATTACGTAACATGGCATTACTAAATGTTCATCATTTTGTTTTGCATAAAAATAGGCGCGTGATATAAATAATCCTAGTGGAATACATATTACAGCTATGATACTTGGTGGTCGTATACATATTATCTATTCAATACATGATCAACAAGGTGTTTATCAAATAAGCTCTGGTCCAGGTGCAGATAATGTTGCTGATGGTAACTGGCATCGTCTTGCAATTACTTTAAGAAAATACAATAAAGAGATTATTGCTTATCTTGATGGTTATTCCAATGAGGTAATGTTTAACTGTTCGATGAAATTGTATGAGAAATGAGTTGAACTACAAATAAGTAGCTAAATTAATTTTAAACAAGTTTTACTTGGCAGTTATATTCACAAGCACAGATAATTGTTGGCTAGTAGTGTAATCCAAGATAAACTGTTCATCGTCTTTGGGACTTTTCACTCAGAAAAACAATAGCATAAATTAAAACTAAAAACACTGCACAGAGCAGTGGTTATGTGGACTTAGTAGGTAAAAGGATAACGCATCGGCGCTCGGTACAAATTGTCCTGCAATCGAGTCCCGGGGCGAACATCGGTACATGAGTGATCCTCATGGAATCTAGCCCGCTGATCTGGAGGCTAGGTGTCTGCCGAATCTCTCGGTTGAAAACTTTTCTTGGAACTGATAGTGGTGTATTGCCTCAGTAGTTCTTATACTTGCTGAGATCTTACCTTGATGAAGTGTCCTTCCTTCCAGTCTGTTAGTACTGGGTCTTTCGCCCAAATCTTACTGAATGGAGTAGTTTTACAGTTTAGTACTGGGTTTGGTTTTAGTGCCTCGTGCCATAATTCGCCTCGTTTATTTCAGGTGGCTGTACCATATATATGTAGGTCTTACATTAAAACTGCTTTTAAAAAGTCTGTGTTCCTTCCTTTAGGCTCTACAGTCACGTTGGAAGATCAAAAGGCCAGTAGGAATCCAGTTTTATTTACTCTCTTGAAAGAAGATTATTCCTCTTGGAATCAGTAATTATTGACTTAATCTGTCTTATTAATCACTTTGCGATGATTAATCTCCAGCTTCAAGATGGAAGTCGTAACCTAGGCAGTCAGTTAACCAAAGAGTGAGGTAATGTAAACCTATGATGTTGAACCTAATTTTCTGAAGAATCAGGCCTGCTGTAAGGCTGGTCTGTTCTAAGCTCAGTCCCTGGAAGAAACAGTCAACCGGTTCTGTAATTTACACTGTTCTTTCTTCTTGATGTCAATCTTCGAATTTTGTGTGATGACCTTATCTTTGGACAGCACCAGTCAAACTCCTTGTGTGTGTGAGGCATTTTACTCCCCGTGGCTTGAGTACGTCAACATATCTGTCGAAGGCGGTCCTTTTTTCCCAGTGCATTTCACTTCATTATTCAGGCTTGAGACCGACAGTAACCTTAGATGGATTCCTGGCTGAGTTAGGGCACACACATCATATCAAGGGTTAATTGCCCATTATATGATTTACTTGATGCTGATAAACATTCCCATCTACAAAATTTATTAATTTACCACTCGTTCACTTCAGTAGTGCTAATGCATTCAGTATGAATAAGACAGTTTATATTTGAAAGCTATTCTAATCTGTGAGACAGTTCTTAAGTGTTCTATCTTAGTTCAATACCTATCATCAGTGTACACCTGATCCTACCAAGTATCGAACCAAAGATATTCAATTCTATCAGTGAATTTTCAATCCTTAAGATATGTTCAATAGTTAATCTATGCACAATACTGAATAACCATCCTCCAATAACTTTGATGAACCGCTCTGGTCATAGATTCTCAATACAACTCTAAAAATGATCTCTTATTATCAATCATTAGTGTATATTTGATAATTATTAGTATAAGATTTATATGAAGATTGCTGGATGGATTAACTAACGACTTGATGTTTTTAGTGGATATTTTTCCTCCTACGGTAAGAGTAGACGCTAAGTAATCGATTTTATACTACACATTGAATTGGATACACACTACAAACAGACACTACATCATGTTACATCAAATGTTCGATTCACTATCGAAATAGAGAACCACCTGAATAAGCAATCGATATTCAATGATCTACAGTGTAAATTAATATCAGGTAAAGAACGCACTTAATCGATTGTCAACAGACGAAATGTTGGTTTTTCTCATTCCAAAATGTGTAAAATAATCAATTTTGTAATAATTTCTCTTCTTCTTTTCCCTTTATTTTTCTTGTCAAAATTCAAAAAAAAAAAACAAAAAAAAAACAGTATTTAGTTGGTAAAAATCTACGTGTTGATTTATTCACTGAATTTGATATATTTTTCGGTGGTCTACCAGAACATGAATGGTCAATATTATTGAATTTATTACGTCGTTATGCTTTATCCTCATTAGAACGAAGTGAAGTGAAAGATGGGCAACAACCATCATTAACTGGTTGTATTGGAACATTTAATATAAGAGCAAATAATTTTACTGAAAATTTATTAAAATTATATGATAGTTATTTAACTGCTTATCCATCCAATGAATTAGTACGTGGTTATTGTTTAGGTAAGTTCGATTGGTAAATGAATAATATGAATATGAAAATTTAAAATAAAATATAAGTCATTATGAACTCATGATTAGAGACTGGAAAAGATTGAACGACTGTTTTGTCCTACTATGGGACTACTTACTCATCAGCAGTATGCATTCATTATGTGGGAATCTAACTGTAGACATTCAGTCGCGTACGCAAAAACCTAAACTCCAGTGGTTATGCTTTCTCACGAGAACTCTAAGAATTCTTTCACTAAACTAGTCACTAGTGAATAGATGATAATTTTCACTATAAGATTGTTGAGTTTCCTTGAAACCATATTCTGATCAGTGTTAAACCATCATTAGAAACCTTTTAAATCTGTACAACCATTTCATTCTAGTATAGGACCCATTAACGGTGCAAATTTTCGACCACTCCACCGGGAATCGAACCTAGGATATTTGAACTTGTGCGCTAACGTCTAACTTCTAAACCATTGAACAGGCATCCAACAGTATTTATGTCTAACTTCAATCAATCCATGATTTTATACAACCTTAAACATTTGATAGTGTCGAAGTTAATATTTCTAGGCAATCTATTCAACAAAATTATTATCAGTTTGAAATAATGATTATGTTGATTCAATTCATTGACAACCATGGAACATATTTTTTCTTTACTTAATTCTTTTGTGTATCAATTTTGGTTACTTATAAATATTTAGTAGTTAATTTCAGTTTTCATCAATCGTTGGCGTATAGTGTCTGGTGTTCAGTTGAAAATTTTGGAAAGAAACGTAACATTTTAAATGTTGTAAATCAACTTAAGAATTAATACAAGTTCTATACCCAAGAACACCAAAATCTATTTTCGAAACTCTTCAGGATTATTATTTAGTGCTTGATAATTACTGACACCTTTAACCCCTAATACAACATAGGCTATCAACCAGCATTCACTAACCTTCTCTGTCTTCTGCAGTCCTTTCCATTTCTACTCAATCACTGTTCATTCTTTGCATATCTGTCTGCAATTTTCAGCGCACTGTGTCTCTTGTTCTACCTCTTTTCCTTTGGCCCTGAAGACTTCAAGTTAGAGCTTGCCTTAGGACGGAGTTGGGTGCTTTCTTCAATGTGTATCCTATCTATCTTCAGCGCTTCTTTTAATCTATTCCTCAGCTGAGATCTGGTTTGTTCATTTCCACTGTAGGTTATTCCTAATGGCCAACATACCTGAAGTATATTGCGTAGACAATTGTCAATAAACACATATATCTTGTGGATGATGGCTTTCGTGCATCTCCCAGTTTCCGCTCCAGGCAGTAAATCTATCTTGACGTTTTTATTGGATATTCTGACTTTGGTATTGATAGAAAATTGGTTTTGAGTTGCAGATCTTCTTTAATTATGCAAATAAAGTTCCTTCTTTGCCAGCCATTCTCTTTACATTCTCATCAGTTCCACCTTGTTTATCAGTCATGCTGCCCAGATCTGTAAATTTTTCTACATCTTGCAGAGCTTCACATTCAAGCGTGATATAATTAGTTCATTCTGTGTTTTATAGAAGGATCTTGAATTTTCCATTTTGTATGTGAAGATCTACTTCTGCAGAGGCTTCTGCTTCACTGATCATCTTCACCTGCATTTGTTTTCATGAGTGGAATAAAAGAGCTTGATCGTTTGCTCAGTCCACTGTATTATGTGCTTCATCTGAGATTCTGACATCTTCATAATTCAATCAATCACTTGATCGTGTAGAAATTATCCTTGTAATCAACGTTTAAAGATTTATGTCACAATCTATAGCCAATAATCATATAAATCTTTGATGATAAACCGATCAAATCAGAGTAGCAAAGAGTTCATTTCTTGAAAACATTGTCAATGTTTTTACTCTAATAGTTAAATACTATTATTTCAAAGATTTAAAAATGAACTTTGAAATTTAGAAATAAAATATATTACTTTGAAGTTGTCTCTTGTTTATGAAAACTTAAATACTGCATTCAGATATTTACAGGTTGATGAAACTAAGCAGTCAGTGAAGTTTTCACACAATTATTAGGTGGAATAAGTTTTTTATAATAATTTGAGCTACTAATGAGTAGTATAATTTATCATCATAATATTTTTCTTTTCAATTTAACATAAAAAGAAGTATACACATTTCTTTAAGGAACGGATGAAAATTTCGACTTTTAATTTCTATTAAGTGATATTAAAACGTGGTAGGTACTTCAAATCCATTTACAAAACTCCTTTTATGAAGTTAAACTTGATCATTAAATGTTACTTGAGTTTTACGAATATAATGATAACAATGGTTTTGTAAGCTCTTTCTTTGTTTTTATTTTACAGATTTAAAACGTTGCTCACCTTCATATTGTCATCATGGAGGAATTTGTCGACAAATATCCGATAATGAAATTCAATGTATATGTACTGGGACTGGTCATGAAGGACCTAGATGTACAAATCCTATACGTGAATGTCCACCAGGTTATTGTAGAAATAATGGACGTTGCCAAATGATTAATGGTCAACCAGTGTGTGATTGTACAAATACAGGTTATACTGGAACAATGTGTGAAATTAGCCCATGTAATACTGGAACATATTGTGAAAATAATGGACGATGTTATATGGTTGGTTCAGTGGCTACATGTGATTGTAAAGGAACTGGTTACACTGGACCAAGATGCCGTGATTCCATATGTACACCGGGTTATTGTGGTTCTGGTGGTGTATGTACAGTAGATCCACGTACACAACAACCAATATGTAATTGTCGTGGTACTGGTTATACTGGTGCACGTTGTGAAACACGTATATGTCCAGTTAATTATTGTGAAAATTATGGTGAATGTAAAGTTGGTCCTGATGATCGTCCAATATGTGATTGTTCTAGAACTAATTATGCTGGTCCAACATGTAATATACCTTTGTGTCCACCAAATTATTGTACTGGACATGGTATTTGTGTTGTACGTCAAAGAAATCCAACATGTGATTGTTATCCAGGTTATAAAGGATCAAGATGTGAAATTGAAGTATGTCCATTAAATTATTGTATGAATGGTGGTACATGTTATCCTGGACAAGATCATCGTCCCCATTGTACATGTCCAGTGAATTTTGAAGGTGAACAATGTGAATTACGTAAATTATGTCCACCGGATTATTGTTTACATGGTGGACGTTGTACCATGAATCGAGGTATACCAAAATGTGATTGTTTAGGTACAGATTATAAAGGGATACAATGTGAAATTCCTGAAACTTGTCCAATTGGTTATTGTCAAAATAATGGTATTTGTTCTGTGAAAAGCGGTAGTTATGTATGTGATTGTACTGGTACAGGTTATCGTGGACGTACATGTACTGAACCGGTTACATGTCCAGCAAATTATTGTCAGAATGGTGGTATTTGTTCAGTTCTACCAGGAAATGTTTATCGATGTGATTGTTCAATGACAGCACGTACTGGAACACATTGTGATTCTAGTAAGTAAAATGATAAATATATTTCTTTGGATTTGATGATTGTGAAACTTTAAATTGAGATCATGAATTGACCAATGTTTGACGATCATCAGATATCTGGAAGTATTACACGACTGTTTCATCTTAGTATAGGGCTCATCACCAATGCACATCCACAACTTTGACATGAGGAATCCAACTCGGGACTTTCAGTTTCACGTTTGAAAACCTAACCGATTGTCAACTGAGCTGGCATGTAACAGTGATAATGTTTAGCTTCAATCAGTCTACGATATTGCGCAACCATCATCTATTGTCTCCGAGTCCTAGTGAGAATACTCAGTCAATGGAGTTCAGTCGTATCGGGCATGAGACAATTACTCATCGAAGATAGAAGATGATGGTCATGTTAAATAGTCGATTGATTAAAGTTAGAAATTCACACTGTTGGATGCCGTCTTAGTATTTTAGAGTTTAAGCGTTTGTGTGTAAAAAATGAAGGTTCTCAGTCTGAATCTCAGTGATGGGGGTCATGGATGCACACTGCTGAAGAGATCTATGAAAAGGCAAAAACAAAAGTCCAATATTTCAAGATTTTTAATGGTGGAATAACACTGATCATTTAATGATTTCCATGAAACTCAACAAACTGTAGAAACCAGTAATGTTGAAACTTCATGACTTATAATTAATCTAACAATGATTGATTGATGATTTCAAATGTGTAAAAACACAAACCTCCAAATCTCTGCCCGAAAAAATTATAATTATTCACTAAAAATGAATCAAACATGATTTAAACTTAGAGTAGGTATTTTTCCGTTATGTAACTGTCATATGTTTATCGAGTCGGTTAATAAGTTTTAATGTACTACAACTTTGTCAAGATGTCTTGTTGAATAATGAAAAAATAATCGAAGTCTGTGGAGTAAATAATACTAGACTCTAATACACATCTAATAAAAAATTATTGATAATTGAAGATCGCTAATTAGTTAACTTCACTCAATTTTAAAGTTTCTAAGAAGTAGTCATTTATAGCTTTCAATGAGACTGAATTTTCGACTGTAACTACTACCTTAACGTAGTGGTTAGGCTTGCCTGCTGTGACGGCTCAACTGAAATTTATTGTCTGTAAAATATGTTCCTTTAGGTCCTACCATGCCAGGAAAACCTACTGGAGAACAATAACTCTAAAGGCAGCAGCAACTAAAGGTTTGAGGGTGACTGTAGAGGGACTCAATAGCGGGAAGGTGTTTCCCACAGACAACCAGCATTTGCAGCGAAGTCACATTCACAAAACAGAAAATAGGGTTAAAATAATTTGACCATATAAATGTCACACCTCACTTTATCTCACGGACTTCCGTCTCCGTCGGTAAAGCCTTTTAGAGAGATGAACTACCACTTGAAAATCTTCCCATAAAAAGTCGTTGCGTAACCGGTCTCAAGACGTTGTCCGTTGTGCTCTGCGGTAACACTCCCACATCGGTAAGACCAATGCTAATTCAACTTCCATTTCAGTTTCCTCAAGAAGAAGTACATATCAAGGTGTGGGCAATCAGGAAGTGACATCTACCCTCATACCCATAACAGCCAGCACATTAGGTCAACTTCTTCTCAACCCTTCTCTCACCTCTTAATAACTCTTTTAACTCTAGGACTGACTGAGAATGAATCTAGCACCTTGAAAGTGTCTATAGTTCAACATAATCAAAGTAGAGGTTGTCTGATGAACAAGATGAGGTAAAATTCTTGACTTGAAAATCTGAAAGAAGATAATTTTGATGAATACACCTACTGTGTTGGTGATTGATTGTGAACCTTTTCATCCGACATCTACAACCACAGATCATGGTTATTATGCTGAGTTCAACTAAATAGTTTGAGTCTACGAACATAATTCATATCAGTAGTTTATTAGTTCATAAATGAATACCATAGTTTTGTTTGTTTAACAGTTTACAATTAGTTTGAAATCGTATTTTACGTAAAAGTTAACAAATACAACTATAATTATTCGTCGATAAGTATGTTTGTGTCATTAACACATAACGAAGAGTGAATATCAAATCGAAACATTCATAGCCAAATTTAAAATAAGCCAGATTTTCGAGTTTTCTATCCCCAAATGTCATTTTCATCAAACTCAATTCATGTTCTCATAAAATTCTCGCTCAAACTTTGTGATCTGATTGAAATGATAAAAATGAACTAATGAATATTGTGCTTACGGATTGAAAAAAAATCTTCAAGGAATGAATAGTGTACTAAAAACGTGTTTCAATGATTACCAGATAACATAAAAGATGCATATTCTCACCTTCATCATTTCTGGCTTTCTTTAATTGTTCAACGGTCTTTTCAATTATTGTAGTGTAATTACGAACCAACAGCAAAGTGAAATCAATTTTTTTTCTGGTGTTCATCTCGTATCAGAAAAACAAAAAAAAAAGACAAAATGAAACAACATCAAATTAATTTTCACTATCCACTCATTTTTTATTATTTTCTTAATACTACTTAAATAATATCTAGGTGCTAATGGTATTCATATTGGTTATGAAAAAGATGGTTATCTTATATACAATTTAATACCATCTATACGTACAATTGAAGATAATGTAACATTTGGTTTTAAAACTTACATGAATTCTGGTACATTAGTGACATTTTTAACATCCGATGGAAAATATTGGGCTATAAAATTAGTAAGTTCATTGTAACTATCACATTCTTATTGAATGATGTCATCATTGTTCATAAAAGAATTAGTTGATTGTGTTTCAGAATATTTTGATGAATTTAATGTCTGATGATAAATATTAGCATGAATAACAAAATAATCGATTAGAGTTAAGTCTGTAATCTAGATACAATTTGTAACTAGTTAACAGTTTAAAGTATATTATGCAATGGTCCTTAGTATTGCTAGATTTGAATGCAATTAGCGTCACCTCTTAATATGCTCGTCAGTTGATATACTTGAACTATAACGAGTTCACCTTACTCAGTAAACGGAGCCAAGACAATTGATGCTGTGACACGATAGGCTATTCTAATACGTTGTACCCGTCCCGGATAACTATATCAGGAAGTCTTGATAAGGCGTGGAAAGTGTATTCTACAAGCAACCAGAAAATACGAGGTCAACAAGCAAACAAATCGAACTTATTTATACATGATAGAAACGTCCTTGGGAAGGCCACAAAAATCGCATACTAAAATGATCCACCAACCAATGATAGTCAAGGATTTTCCTAGTAGGAAATGTAATCTCAAGGTCAACCAGGAAACTTATGCACAAAAACATCAAAAATCTTATATCAGGACATTTTCCAAATATTTTATTCAATTATTATTCAATAGAGCCTTCACAAAACATTTAAAAAGTACAGAATCACTTGTCAAGATTCTGAGTGGATGTGTAGCTATACAGCTATTATACTTGGTATGGTTTCTGGAGCTTCCAGAAGCTCAAGGTTATGAGTGACCCTGAAAATATCTCCGTCTTTCTGCACATATACTAACCCTGGAGAGAAGCGTTCTTCTTGGATTTCTTGGTTTTTTCTTGTATTCGATTAATCGTATCGATTTAATCTTGGGTTATTAGAATTTTTGTAAGAAATCAGATCAAGCGTTCATTGAGCACACTTATCAGACACTAAAGAGTTTTTCAACTTATCTGATAGTTGATAGTCTCGCAAAAGAAATTAAAATTTATTTATGATTGAGCATTCAATTAACAATACTTAATAAAGTGCTTAACGGAACAAACATGCATTCAATGTACAATATCCATTGAAAACCTATGAAAACAAGTTTCTTTCTTTTCTAACAAAGATTTCGAGGAACCCTTTTTAAAAAATCTTTTAGAGAAACATTTAAAAGATCTCAGTTGATTGATATGTACGCGGAAAAAAAAAATTGGATGATCTTTTATTCAGTAATTCACTTTATTTATGACTATTAAACTTGGACAGTGGTTAGCAATCGAATGTAGGTCTAATGTTTGGGACTCAATAGCTGGATGTAATTAAATTTCAGTACTGATCATCATCTCATTGAAACTGGAAGTCAATGCATCTCAATTCAAATGCTATCATTTCATACATTGAGCTACTAAGTTAAGTAATACTGAAGCGATGCATTCAGAGTATTTATACACTCAATAAATACTGAGACGGCATACAACGGTTTAATGTCTAGATTCAAACAATCCACCATAATACGTGACTATCGTCGATTGTCTTCGGTGAATAACTGCTACAATGAGTAACTGGCTACAGTTCCTCATTAGAACTCCATGGCTTTTTTTTCATAAAGCTAATCACTAGTAAGCACACAACAACAATTAATGTAGGGTTCTAGAGATTGTTGGGTTTTACTGAAACGTTAGACTACTACTGAAGACCTGGAAGCACTGGAAAGTCCTGAGCACAAGCCTGTGAGTGTCGAGATTTGAAATCACTCAATGGATACTGGTTTATTGCTTGAAACAAATAGTACTGAATTCAATTTTCAATGTGATCACTATAAGCACTGAGATTCAGAGATTCGTTTAGCTGATGAGTCAGTCCTGTGTAAGACGAAAATCATTTGCTTGCATCCTGCTGTTAGCCGTCATCTATCTTGAATAAAATCATGTGGCCTAAATGCCAACTTTAGGGTAAGTTGATCAGTAAAAATGCATCACTTCCGATCTTTAATGAACAACTTGTGAAGTCGGTTCCTGAACCATTAAATTAAATTTCCCCTTTTTTTTCATAGCGTGATGGTCGAATTGTTGTTGATACAGGGGGAAAAATTACTCATGATTTTGGTATGCGATCCAATGATGGAAATTATCATTTAATAAATATTCAACGTAAAGGACGTACAATGATTGTGACACAAGATGGTGAAGTATTACGATTATCATTACAAGGTAATAAATATTGATATTTTTAATTAGTGATAGTGATTGATGGTTGTTTCGATCTACCGATGGAAGGAAATTGACCAATCTCTTTTTAGGAATTCAATTCTGCCATTAAGTTGCAAGTGTTGCTGGCCATCAATGGAATCTAGAACAGTATGTGGGTAATGCAATGAGTCGGTTTGAAACGAACCTTACTGAGTTTGAGTTACAGAGTGAACGTCTCTGTTAGGATACATGTACATCCGGCTGACCAGTCCCAATGAGGACGAGATATTCATTTAGAATTTCACTGCTACACACCATCCACCTCTGTTTAAGGAATCTCTATCATTAATTGCTATCGATCAGGTGACAGCGATAGATTTAGACACGTTTCCTTACTTTAGGCTAATGAAATCAGTGGCAACATCTTTGATTGTTAGACTAATTGAAAAACACGTTAGAATTGTTTTTTAAACATACTTCAACTGGTACAAACTCTAGATTCAAATATTTCCATAGACTATTATCAATCGTTATAACATTAAAACATAGTTCTTAATATATTTTAAAGATTCCCATTGTGAAAATTAGAACAACACATATAAGCGAACAATATTGTTTTCGATTAGATCGTCATCAGGCTTTACTCTAATATACATGAATATTTATATGAAAATGTTAAACCAATCAAGGCAATTTGAGTGATAATCACAATGAAATCAAAAAGATTACGTAACTACATCTAATAGGCAAAAGTTCAAGTGGATAATAGGAAAACAGGTGTACTGATAGTAGTAAGAAAATTTGCCTTGATTGGTTTAACATTTTCATATAAATATTCATGTATATTAGAGTAAAGCCTGATGACGATCTAATCGAAAACAATATTGTTCGCTTATATGTGTTGTTCTTAATATATCTCATGCGTCTTGATAAAGTCAAGTTTGGAATATTTAAAATACTGTTATAGGAGGATATTCAAAGAGAGAATATCTCTGTTTCAAAAACTGAATAGTGGTTTCAGACTACTGAAATTAGAAATTTGAATGGTTGAAGAATGGTTGATAAATAATCAACAGTATTCACTTCAAAGTCTTTCAGATTTATAAATAAACAATTTCATACTACTGCAATGGATGTTGTTCACCAATTGACTTGTAACTAGTATTGAAGCGGAGAATATCGACTAGAAGCTATAACCAGAGAGAATAGCATGATGTGATCAGTGTATTTTAAAGATTGGAGAGAAGAAAGTCAATTAGATGAAACAACTTCTCAATACTTTTTGATTCAGCATATTTAACGAAATTGAAAAAAACGTTTTCTTCTTCAATTCTAATCCTTCTCATTCAAATAAAAATATTATTTCTTCTTTTTTCTCATAGATTTAGTTAATCCATTCGACAACAGTCTCACTTACAATACAATTCATGTAGCTGTAGATGAAAAGAAATCTGATATATTCCGTGGAGTAATTGGAGGTGAGTGTCGATATTCAACCTTTTTCTTTGTTTTTTCTTCACTTTCAATGTTCCATTGACTTAATTATGAAATTCGTTTTAATCTCGAAGATACATGATGTTTGTTCAATGTTTCAATGGTTGTTTGTTGAACATTTCACAATCAAGATAAACATTTTTGGTTGTGTTCATTGATTAAGATAATCTTCAAGATCCTTCAACTTATTTCTATCATCTTTAAGTGTAATGTCAACAATTATTTACCTTGGTGATTAGTGTTGGTCAAAAATAAGTTCACTGATTGTTTCACACTTTTACAGTGTTCAAAGTTGACAGCAAACAAATGACTGATGACTTAATAAACAATGAGTGTAAAACTACATGAGAAAATAAGTTGTCGGTTCTGAACTCAATTGAATTCGTGAAATAAATTGTTATGATCCCGTTTTCTGACTAAACTTCGGTTCTGTAAAAGCCCATGTTGTAGAGACAACGGTTGAGCTATTCTAATATGATCGATTCTTTACATTTCGACAACGGCAATTCACTCACAATGCAACACTTGACAGCTAACACAAGAAAAAAACACTTCACAAGGAACTTGATATTCCAAGAGAGAACGAAACGAGAGACAACCTTTAGGAGAACCCAGAAATGTAATAAACTGAAAATCAAGAACAACCATGCGGGACTATGCGGGAGATTGAATCAAAAAGATAAGCGATCTACCACTTATCATTTGTAAAATGCGTTTGTGAATTTGATTTTTCTTGTGATCTCTTTAACAAGTCCTTATCTCAAACAATCTATGTTATTTGTGATATACGAAAGAACAGACACTGTAAATGTAATCTTAATGTTTTCTAAAAGATCAAAATATCAAAAATAATTTTCTAGCTTTTCACTATTCATCTCATTATTCATTGAAACCGTGAATCAACCATTGTTAGACGGCCGTTATCTCCTAGTATAGGACTCTTCGGTAGTGCGCATCGACGATACCCGCTCGCTGGAATCCAACTCAGCCCGTTCGGTTTTGTGCAAGAATACTTGACATCTAGACCACTGATCTGACACCCAAAGGTGTTAATGTCTAACTTTAATCAATATAGGGTTTTTGTGCAATTTCACATACTGTCTTCGGTAGGCAACAACAACATACACCCAACAGGGATGAACTCCACTGGTTCATATTACTCATGATTTACCGAAGAGTAGATACTCTGAGTTAAATCTTTATGTTTTCTAACAGACCATACTATCAGTACTACTACTACTACTACTACTACTACTACTACTACTACTACTACAACTAATGATAATAATAATAATAATATTTCAATCTTCATTCATTTTTTAATTACTCAAGGATTACATTGGAATGGACGATATCCAATTGATGATTTAAATGGACGTATTGTTACATCAACTGGGACAGTGACAATTGTACCGACACCAAGTTTTCAAATCTATCCACCAAGACCACAACCAGAATGTTTACCTGATTATTGTTCAAATGGTGGACGATGTTATGCAGAAAATTATCAGCGTAAATGTGATTGTCGTTATACAGCATACAATGGTGCAAGATGTGAAAGACGTATGTATTGTCTGATTGATTTTAGTTTGGATTTTTATATGAATTCTGGTGTGCCAAAGTTAATGTGCATTGACTAATATTATATGACAAGTCATTAATAAAAGTCCGGGATTGTAGTTCTATCTTTTTTTTCACGTCTATTATCTGTTTGATAGTCTAATGTCTCTAACTTAACCAACATTACTGACTTTGAAGTGACTCAGTAAAGTTTCTATTAGTCAGTTATTTGTAAGTTCACATTTATGCACTACAGTTCAGAGGTGACAATCAGCCTGTAGTATTTTTATTTTTTGAAACAGATATGATTTATCGACTTTCATACTAGACCGCATTACACTAGGAATTACAAAGTAACAGTTATACATAAACAAGCTATTAGAATATTCAACCAATATCCTAAGACAATTGTTTGTAAGTCTAATTCTATTGGTCAATTCCTATTGGTCGTCCTAACTATCAATGTCACAAACTTCAGTGTTCTTTCTGATTGGTTGTCCTGACTACCAATGTCACTTCAAATATTGTTTCCTATTGGCCGTCCTAACTGTCAATGTCACAGACTTCAATGTTGTTTCCTATTCGACCTAACTGTATAAATACGCATTATCTGTGACATTATATGACCCGGACCAGGACCCTTAGTCCGGGATCCTGATTCTCTTCTGGACTCGGACCTCGTATTTTGTGGATGCTTGTAGAATACATGTTCTACTTCATATCAAGTCTTCTTCTTTTATTCAATGGGATTTGGGACAATCGGATCAGAGTAGCATGTCGCGTTGCCGGATCCTCGATCGTCGCTCTCGTTTTCCGACTAGGGTAAACTCGTAATAGTTCAAGCATATCAAATGACGTGTTTACATGCATGCGTAACGCAAGCTAAAAAGCAGTTGTAGGTAATAGACTGTTGACAAAATGGGAATAGTACGTCGTATAACAGTAATTCATCGTAGATAACCGGAAACCTTATGATAAATGGAAAACAAAAAACTTAATATTCTATCTAGTGTCTTAATAACTATAGAACAAGGCTATATATATCATACTTGTCTATAAATTAATTCAGCAAGTTATCATTCTTTTAATCTTTGTTCAGATATATCAAAATTAGTGAGATTTTTTTAATACTTTCCCACGCGATTCCGTCGATTTCTACATTCTTAGCATTTCACTAATCGATTAATCCTAGGAAAGAATGCAGGACAACAAGTGATGTTGTTTGGTGTACCTGCAGGTTGAAACAAAGATCAGGACAATCAAATTAGGAAGTAAGACCTGTCCGTAAGATCATTGACTAGTGACTTAGCTCACATAAACAGTTGTAGACTATCTGGCTAGGATCATAACCAATGGTTAGAGACTTTAGGTGATATGATTCGGTGTCCGAGGTTTAAACGTAATACACGCAAAACCCATGGAAATGACAACTTTAGTGAGAAGGTAATTACAGAAGAAAAAGTACATACACACAAACATTTTATCCCCATAGAAAACAAGTCAATTTCTTGACCAATAATATTTCATCGTCCTTTAGGATGATGATTGGTTCTACTATATCAGAAATATTTCACGCAAATTTTTTTCTTCAATTTTACATTTAACTCATAATAGAATCTCGTGGTTTTATGCCACAAACACCAGATAATGGAGCTTATATCATTTATCAAATTCAACCATTAAATCGAACAAATCGTGATCAATTAAGAGTTGCTTTTCAAACATGGTCTAATGATGGTCCAATTGTGCGTGTTGTACAAACTGATGGTTCATACTATGAAGTTTATTTAGTAAGTAATTTTGATCATTTTTTTGTAACTAGATCTTGTCATTTTTCAGACTGATGGGAAATGACGTTAGTTTTTTTTCACTTTGATAAAAAGCATCATTTTTTATTTAAAATGATGATAGATGCACTTGCGATCAAAGATGTCTACGAAGCATTGCTCGTATATCCTAGGGCTATTGAGTAAGCAATGCTGGGTTTAAGAAAAGGGTACTACTAGGTATTGATGGTAGATTAATTTACGAAGTAGAAAATATTCATTCGTATAGGTGGTTGCAACATGTGTTACGTGTGCACAAACCCTGACTGTCTCAACGAGCGATGTTTTGTGGTGTAGGGGTAAGCTGAAAGAAAGCTAGGGGCCACATTGTGAAAAGTATCCACCATACCACTATTTAAGTCTAGTCAATTCGATACATATCTATATCCCAGTGTTGTTATTCACAGTGTAATCTCTTTAATTTGTATTATTCAAAAATGACCCAATCAGGATCATAATCAGAGATATGTTACTATTGAGCTAATTGTAATGATCAAAATCATCTTTTTTATTGTTAGTAACAAGCAGATCCCGTTATTTTTCCTCAGTCATCTGACATCGCCTTTAACCACTAACTGATATTCATTCAAACGAAGGTAAAGATGGCATCCATTTTGTCCATTTTATTCAGACAAAAAATGAAAGCTCTACAATCAAGGCATCCAGTTCAGGGAGCGCCACAATGAATTATATTTTCGATAGATATTTTGAATAAATTAGAATTATAAATGAAAAATGTGTATTTTGATAAGACCCATAAAATCTGATTCAAATAAATATACGCACTATACACAATTACTTCCTTACTTACGGCTCTTACTTTAACGGAACTTAGGCTGCCCACCAGCATTCTCCAACCTATTCTGTCCTGGACTTTCCTCTCCATTTCTGTACAACTGAATAGCCATTTCTTCGTAGTATTAGACTGACCAACAGTGCGCATCCATGCTCACTGCTCGTCGGAGGCGAACTCATGAGATTCGATTCCTAGCCGACGAACACTTAAGCTGTAGACAACTGAGCTGTTCATGTCTAATGTTAATTAATCCAAGGTATCGCGCATACTCAAATTTATCAAAAAAAAAATGTTAATTACCATTTGTATAATGCATTATTTCATGTTATTTTTATAATTCTATACAATACTTTCTATCTCTTAATCTCTGGTCATATTTTTCACAGCGTAATGGAAAATTGTACACTGATATTAATGGTCAAGAATTTATTCTTAGTCGTCCATCACAAGTATTCAATGATGCTCGTATGCATGTGATTACATTGGATCGAGATAAAGGAACATTTAATTTCACTATAGATGGACATCAAACATCACATTATGTACCTGGTAAGTATAGTTACAAGAAAAATTGTTCATTTTCCTACTGTGTTTACATATCGGTGTTTTTTTATTTTGTTGTCAAATTAGTTTTCTGATTAATTGTCATGAATCGATCATTGTTAGACTACCAGTGGAGTTCAACTCTGTCGAGTTTGAGGCAGTTATGAGGATGCGCAACGTTGCGCGTTCAATGCCGACTCAGTGGTCTAGCGGTCATGTGCTCACGCGCGGGACTGAATGTCATGGGTTTGATTTAAGCGAGTGGGGTTTGTGGTAGTGTGCTGCTGATGAGTCCCATACTAAGACACAACGGACATCTAGTACTTCCAGGTTTCCAATGTTGGTGATCTGGCGATTACTGATTCACGATTTCAGTATAACTCTTATTTTCTGTCTCTCGCTTAAACACACAAACATACATATATATGAATACTTCTTCCGAAGGACACTAACTTACACAATCTATAGTATGAAAAATAATTTGTAGTAGTTTGATATATAATCATAATAACTGAATCAAAACATGTTCTCAGTTAGTTCACAACATGTATTTGGCTGATTACAAGTTGTTTGAATTTTGCTTTATAGTTTGGTTAATAGATATTTATTCATATCAATTAACAATAGTATTTTGATACTCTTTTTAATTAGCTGAAAATAATTAACAATAATAATAATAATCTTTTACTTCTACTTGAAGTTTTTTGCTGATAACGTTGTTCAAAAGAGCAGTAGGATCTTCAAGACTAAACCATCCAGCTCATAGAACGAAACTCCACCAAAATCAACTACCTGAACTACAAATTTTCCCCACTGTCTCACAACTCTACTAATAATGACGTTATTTTTTCAGTGTTACGCCTATCAATCAATCTCAATCATTTTAAGTAGTATATATTATTTCACAGAAATATTGAAGCTCACTAACCACTATCAAGTCACCAATCAAAATCTTAACTCTAATTCGAATCATTATTTACTCTGTAGCTTGGTATCTCTAACTTGGTCAACTATATACTTGGCCAGCAGTGCTATTAACAGTTAATTGTCATTTGATATACGATTCACAAGTTCCTCTATAGGCACAGCCTTTGAGATTAGAAGAAGCAATCAAACTTTAATGATGCTTATATTTCAAATGACTTTGATTTGTTTACAGATAAACGAAACTGAACCATATTAGGAATTACAAAATAAAAATCATGCAAAAACAAGCCAAAACTTAGCTGTGATTAGGGAAGATTGTGAGTAATAGATTGGTAACAAGATAGAAATAGAAGGCCATATAATAGTAGTTCATAAGTAAACCGAAACCTCATGATAAACGGAAAACAGACAATAATCTAATCTCACAACAAAATCATGATCGATAATAGTTAGAGAAATCTTTTCCAACTTATACAACATTCATTGAGTTATAACAAGATTTGAATATTATACAGGTTTACTTCAGTCTAGTAAATAAGATCGGAATGAATCCAAACAATTTGAAGAGGAGTTAGCTCTCTCTCTCTCTCTCTAAATACTCTTATACAGCCTCACCAACAAAGCCACTGCCACGGAGGTCCTACTCGCCACCTCTTCGCGAGGGTGTAGACAACACCTTTTGTTGAGGTGGTCATTTAAGACCATTTAATGAGAAGTGGTGAACTCTTCTCACTCTTAGCTGTACCAAAGCATTTGGGGTGAGAAATAAAGATGAGAATAAAGTGGAAAGACAACTTTGAATTATGTACTTATTTGAATAAAAACTGAATTTAAAAATCAAAATTTTCATCAAGAAATCAAGCTAACTATCATATAAAATTGTGTTCAGATCAATGTTATTTTTATGCAAAACTTCAAAAGTGACTAGTTCTTTTCTGTACTTTAGTTTCATGGAAATTCCTTTTCTAACACTGGGAAATAATAACTAACTGGGTGTTTTCAGTAAAACAAACAAACATGTTTTTGTTGTTGGCAAAGTATGAACAATCCAAAAAACACAGTAATAATCATATTTCAATTTGTTGTGAATATAAACAGAAAATTAATAATTTTACGTAATTCACTATTCCAAATTCATCCTATTAACTTGTTATTGAAAACATAATAGATTGATGTAATCGAATTGAATAGTTAACATCTAAGAATGATTTCAGTTCAATGATGACTAGAAAACACTGAACTTTTGTTTTGTTTTTCTATGAAACTTCTTAGCAAACAGCATCGTCAGCGAACACTTAACCGCGAGACCATTGAACCGTCATTCAATGATATACATGTCTAGTTTGAATCAATTCCAAATATGACTTAACACTTGTTTATTTTGTAGCGTTTAACTTTATTGGTTGCAACTTCTTGTGAGTACTTGAGAAATACCTCTTGATAAATTTATGAATTTCATAGAGTATAAGATGGCAGTTGGAGATAGTCAATAAGAAGCCATTGTACTGACCTAGGTTTCAGTCTGTTTAGCTTTCGTCAACAAAGCGAATCTGTAATCTTGACGGAACTAATGCTTCCTGACTAATTCTATTTTAAATCATCCATTTTCTTAGTCAGTCAGAGATGTTACTAATGAACTTGTCCTAATTGTGAATGATCTCCTGTCGCAGTAAGACGCATTCACAAATAATTGGTCACTGAGTATGTATTTGTGGTGTGCCAGAATAAACGTATTCAACACTTCGAGTTTACCTTCTGATTTACAAACGGTCAGACGCTATTTAGTAACGGTTGTCTGGACGAGCTAATTACGAAGTCTGAGAAGACGTTGGATACCAACCATGACGAAACTAGAGATACATTGGCCACTACATATTGTCATGCAGGACTTTAGTGATGATTCAGTGAACCGTCTAGAATTTCTAGCAGTTAAGTATGATAAGGTCACCAAAATCATGTGACCTAATGTTTACAACCGAATAAGTACACATATTCCATTCCGTTTCGTTCTAATATGGGACTCATCAGCAACGCCTTGCCACGACTTCCACTCTCACGAATCAAACCCAGGATGTTCGGTCTTGTGAGTGGACGCTTAACTTCTAGACTAATGAGTCTGTATCTAACGCTATTAATGTCTAACTTCAACTAATTCATAATACTGAACGACCTCATCCACTGTCTCCCGACATGGTTGAGTGGCAATTTTTAATATTGCCTAAATTTGTTACAATTTTTAACAGCATGTGAAGTTAACCATATTTATTACGCATGAATAATATATCCCGTTATGGTAATGTGTAGGCTGACACACATTATCTAATAATAACAGCGATTATGATGTAATCCACTGTAAAAACGAAATTTCTTGATTTGTTCAATCACCAGATCATCTGTGTAAGAAGAAGAGTGTGTGTGTGTGAGTGTGAGCGAGAGAGAGAGAGACAATGACAGAGGGAAAGTAATAGTTATTTTCATCAATTTTAAGATACACATCAATGCCTATAGATGGATACACATGAATTGATGATGATATACACGTGTAGTAATAATGCATTTTAACAATGATGCGTAATATCAGTAGTACAAATCTGTGCACATTTGCGTGGGTGCACTTTCACAAACTAGACAGACTTTTGAATACACACACATTAGATATCAATGCACAGTTGTAGTATGTGCGCTTATTGTGTGTAGGTGTTATAAACTTTTCAACACAATTCTATGAATTGGAAGAAACCAAACACAGTAAGGATTCTATTTTAACACTAAAATAAACACATTAAAGATTCAGTTGTGTTTTTTTTTCTCACTTTACACACACAGTAGTTTCGATTATAAATCAGAAAAGAATTTACTGGTTAATAGTTTTTTTCTTTCTTGCCAATCAATGCACTTTGCCACATACACCACCTACTTGTTTGTTTCAGTTAGTGCTTCTTTTTTCAAAATGTACCTATGTGTGTGTGTATGTGGGTGTGTTGGTGTAGTTGTGTCAGTCAGTCGGTGTGTTTGTGTATGTGTGTGCGCGCAATAAATTGACAAGAGAATAGAAAATTTCCATTTTGTCATGAAAATTAAAATGTATGTTTTGAGTTGAAATGCACACATTGGAATACTATTAATTATAATAATTTTTCTGAAAAGGACCTGTTATATATAACACTCATGATTACATCATCATAATTATCTATCTGTATGAAATATCATTACGCTGTTACATAAACAAACGGATTTATAATTTGGTGTTTTTTATCAATACAGTAAGTATAAATCAAAAATGATGCAACGTTTTTAAATGAATTTCATTTCAAATTTGAAAATAATAATAAATGCATAGTTGATTACGTAATCGTTAGGGTTGTAGTTGATGACAGTTTTTCAATATTGATTCGTAGTTGTGTTGTATGGTAAATGATATGAGTAATGTAGAGGTTGGAAATAGGGAAAAATAAACACGCTTGACAGTTATTTAGCTTGAATAATGTTGAAATGAAATATCCAAACTATTTGGTTAAGATATGTATCTTTGATAATTGAAATCCCAGAGTTGGTGGTTTCGGATGATTTGACCTGAAATAGTGCAGGTGTACTTAACTTGTTATCTTTCGAAATTATGAATCGATCCATGTTGGACTAACATTAGAAAACTGGGCGTTTCGCCCTGGTATAGGTCTCATCATCCATGACTCTTGCAACTCGCAGGAATTGAACCCAGGACCTTTAGTCTCCACAACTCTATCATGAAAACTATACATATTTATTATGACGTTTTTAAAACAAATCGGTCCCTTTCAATAAATTTTCATAGGAATAATGAAATAAAACGGTGTTCATCTGCAATAATGTTGTGATATATATTCGCACTATACATTCCCGAACAATCTGGTCACACACAAACACACATGTACATTTGTCGAAAATAGCCATTTTTATGGTCTAAGAGAATTATGACAACATTTTTGCAGATGAACACCGTTTTATTTCATTGTTCCAATGAAAATATTACATACTTTATTTACACTGTCCAATTTAACATTTTTTTTGTGTTGATATTGCAGTGAAGATCTTTTTACACA